GACCACTCGATCCTCTGAGTAGTCTGTCAAGCCTTGGGTACCTGCGACCAATCGATCCTCTGTGTAGTCTGTCAAGCCTTGGGTACCTGGGACCACTCGATCCTCTGTGTAGTCTGTCAAGCCTTGGGTACCTGGGACCACTCGATCCTCTGAGTAGTCTTTCAAGCATGAGGTGTTTGGGGGGAAGCCCGATCCTCTCAAGTAGTCGGTCAAGCATGGGGTATTTAGCGATCACTCGATCCCCTGATAGTCTTTCAAGCATGGGGTACTTGGGACCACCCGACCTTCTGTGTAGTCTCTCACGCATGATGTGTTTGTGAACACCCGATCCTCTGTGTAGTCTGTCCAGCATGAGGTGTTTGTGGACGCCCGATCATCTCAAGAAGTCGGTCAAGCATGGGGTATTTAGCGATCACTCGAACACGGGTTAGTCTGTCAAGCATGGGGTACTTGGGACCACTCGACCCTCTTTGTAGTCTCTCACGCATGATGTGTTTGTGAACACCCGATCCTCAGTGTAGTCTTTCCAGCATGGGGTATTAGGGACCACCCGGTCGTCTCAGTAGTCGGTCAAGCATTGAGTATTTAGCGACTATCCGACACCCTGATAGTCTATAAAGCATGGGGTACTTTTGACCGTCCGACCTTCTGTGTAGTCTGTCAGCATGGGGTATTTGGGGCTACCCTATCCTCTGTGTAGTCTGTCAAGCATGGGGTATTTAGGACCACCCCTCCGTGAAGCATGTGTGTACTTGGGACTAGTAATGCTTCTGAATCCCCACGGGCTAAACCCAAACTTTGATGGGATGTCGCTACACACTGCATTTTCAGATTTGCTGGTGTTAGTGAGTATTTGATCCATTTTCATTCAGAAATGACGCTTGCAGATTAAGAGACGTCGACGTTACCCCGCATCGAATAATCACTAACACTAGCAAATATGAACGAATAACGTTTATCAGAATTGTAAAAACAAAATGTTATGGAAAATGTTCCGGTAGCTGGAGTGCGGCGTTAAACAACAAACAAACTAAATAAGAAAAATACACAGAGCAGGACAACCCTATTCAAAAACACCTGGAGTTATCACTGATTTTCAGTGATCCAATCATGTATTTTCATCACTATTTTTCCTTTTAAAGCCTCTTGAATCTTCTGGTGTCCCCCGCCGTGATATCCATACCTGTGCTCGTGGGTTACACCGAAGTGGTAAACGTCTGAGACCTGCATCACTTCGGGCTTTCCTCCCACATTTAGCTGACACGCTGTGATATAACTGGAATACTGTTAAAAGCGGCGTTAAACGCGACTCACTCACACTCACTCACTCCGCCGTGATATTGCTGGAATAGTGAGTGAGTGAGTGAATGAGTATGGTTTAAGCCGCTTTTAGCAATATTCCAGCAATATCACGGGGGGGGGGGGGGGGGGGGGGGACACCAGAAATGGGCTTCACACATTGTACCCATGTGGGGAATCGAACCCGGTCTTCGGCGTGACGAGCGAACGCTTTAACCACTAGGCTACCCGACCGCCCCTGCTGGAATAGTGCTCAAAGCGGCGTAAAACCATACTCACTCACTTACCCTCAGTTTCTTTAGATATTCTCTAGCTTTGACGTTTGGATTTATTATTCGTTTTTAGCTGAAAAGTATGCCACACATTTGTTTTCTGGTTTCAGTGTTTGAACAACATAAACGAGTGCAACCCCTGGAAAGACGAGTGCTGTGACGACCTCACCTGTATCAATCTTAGGAAGGGATACTGTGCCTTCCCCTTCGAGCGATGCTTCTGTATGAACAAGATCTCTTTCCACGTGGATCAGAGATCGGTATAGCGAGGCAAAGCGTTACAGCCGGGTGGAGGATTGGAGAGACGCGGTTGTGTGACATTAACTTTACTTCTGCTTTTATGACTAAGTGAATCTGTATCTAATAAAAACGCTCATATATATATGTCTTTGTCATGCAAGTACATTTCGTGTACATCAAATACCGGGCGGATTGGACCCGTCCCACCTTTCTTGATAGTTACTGTCTCATTGTCATATTAAGAAATTCAGTCTGATGGAAAATAAAAGATGCCACCCTTTACCTTGTATTTTTTAAAATCTTTCATTTACTTTCAAATGCACATAGGAGTGACTGCCTTATGGCTCACGTGACTGAGCAGGATCATGTCAGGGTATTACGTTATCGGGGCGGTCGGGTAGCCTAGTGGTTAAAGCGTTCGCTCGTCACGCCGAAGACCCGGGTTCGATTCCCGACATGGGTACAATGTGTGAAGCCCATTTCTGGTGTCCCCCGCCGTGATATTGCTGGAATATTGCTAAAAGCGGCGTAAAACCATACTCACTCACTCACTCACTATTACGTTATCAGCGAAGCGCCCGTATACCACCTTCTCCTGGGACTCTGGACCAATGGGGCCGAAGCGACTAAGCTTGTCGTAAAAGGCGACTAACGGGATCGGATGGTCAGGCTCGCTGACTTGGTTGATGCAAGTCATCATATCCCAATTGCGTGGGTCGATGCTCATGATGTCAACCACTGGATTGTCTGGTCCAGACTCGACTGTCGTCATATAGTAGGAATATTGCTGAGTGCATCGTTAAACAACAAACAAACAAACAATGAGGCTGAATATATGAAGGAAATGGCCGCCTAGTGGAAGAGCGTCCGCCCGGAGAGCGGAAAGTTCGATCCCCGGCCGCGTTTGACCAAAAAACGTTAAAAGATGGTACTTGTTGTTACCCTGAATGGTGCTCGGCATGAAGTTGTTAAGCAAGGACCTGTCGGCTCTGTGTCAGTATACTGTGTCTGACTGGGGTATTCATGTTAAACTTCGGCATGGTATCTCCGTGAGCTAGCACTATAAAGAAGGTGTTCCACCACCATGCAATCTTTGACAGATATGAACTCTCATTTACACAAAATCAACAACATCATGAAAATGTGCCCACTAAGAAAGTACGCTGTCTCGATGTGACTCGATCTAGAAGTTATGGAGTTTCTTTTAAGCAAGAGACCACAAGTGTTAGAGTGTCCGCCCGGCGAGCGGAAGGTCCGGAGTTCAAATTCCCGTCCGCGTCATACCCGAAAACGTTAAAAGATGGTACTTGTTGTTACCCTGTCTGATGTTCGGCATTAAGGGGCTAAAACAAGGACTCGGCTCGGAGTTAGTAAACTGTGTCTGAGTGGGGTAGTCGTGTTAAACTGCGGCATGGTATCTCAGTGAGCTAGCACTACAAAATTGGCATTAGTCAGGAATAGTACAAGCAGCCACACACACACACGTGCATGCACGTAGCTATATAAGTGCAACATTCTTGGACGCGACGTTAAACCCCATTTCACATCACCCTAAAATAAAACAAAACAAAACTATGACCATTATTTGACATATTTTCCAAAATGTTTTGATGTTTGGTACATGTGTTATTTAGAGGGACTCGACATTAATGTTACTTTATTTGCGATATGTTGAATATTGACTTGTTTTGATCTTTGCACATTGATCAATCCTTAACGTTCTCTCAAAATGGATTAATGGTTCGCTGAACGTCTTCGATTTCTTTATGACTGATGACGCTGAAATGTTTCTTCTCCTGAAGACATCACAGACTGTTCAAATCGTTGTAATCTGACTGAAAGGTTCGTTTCACTTTTTTTTTAGAAATATCATAAAATGTTTTGAAACACTTCACACTGATCTCACGAGGCTCAGAAAGATGAAAGCGAGATTTATAGCTTCACGTTCGTTGAAGGCATCAGGAACGACTTTCAACTGTCTTGTCGCAGACGATGTTCCTTCTTCTTAATCTGCAGCACCAAATGTGTGAAAACGCACTCAAACATTTTGTGGCACAGTTATACGGTTGAAGCGTTTATAAACAATTTTTTTTCAAATATTCAATACATTATAAAACTTTTAAATCAACTTATTTTCAGAATTGCATTAGTCATGATAATGAACATTTTCTGTTTGCAAAAAAGGATAAATAAATTTTATGTTACATGTCACACGAAGGTCAAAGACTCCAGACAAAAAGAGCTCACGAAAATCAAAATTCAAAGTACATGCTTTGTGATACATGTGGAGATGAATATATGTTTTATGACTGCCCATTAGAGGCTACTGACAACCTATCGAAGCCCCTTATGGTGCGTGAGTGAGAGAGTTGGGTTTAACGCCGCCTTTAACAGTATTCCAGTTATATCGCGGCGTGTCAGCTTAATGTGGGAGGAAAGCCAGAAGTGATGCAGGTCTCAGACGTTTACCACTTCGGTGAAACCCACGAGCACGGGTATGGTGCTAACAAACCTAGAAACATAATCGGGGCGAACATACAATCATAGGTTTCTGTCGTGCCCAAGGGACGCAACTCTGCACAACGAATCGCGGCGCCTTAGATGACTGGGCCACCTGTGCCCCCCAAGTCCCTTATGGAAAGCCCCGGCAGCGCCATACAAATAGACGTAAAAGGATCGTATTTATTGTTACCCTGCCTGCGGCTCGGAATTAAGGGGATGAGACAAGGACTGGTCGGCTTCAGCAGTATACTGTGTTTGAGTGGGGTGTCCATGTTAAACTGCGACATACTATAAATCCGTCATAAGTCTGAACTAGTACAATTAGTCACATGCACACACATAAACACACACACACGTGATAAGACCGCCTCCGTGGTCTGGTGGTAGTTGCCATTGGCAGTTTTATTTCAATCATGAAAATACAAGGTTGGGGACAAGTGATACTTGTACAAATATTTGTCTGGGCCTTGGCCTTCCTCTACCAACCCTTTTAACCTCTTAACTTTTCCAGACTCGATTATTTACGGACCCCCGTCATATAGCTTAAATATTACTGCGTGCGGCGTTAAACAACAATCAAAAAAACTCAAAACATCGTAACTGACGATAATTCGGTTATTGGTGAAGGCACCTTTAATGCTTTAATCAATGGCGATCGAAAAAAGCAGTGCACACATGCAACAGCGACTTGGCGGAAGCCCGACCTCGTGGGAAGACACGGCCTTGACCTTGCACTAGAGAGGACGCAGATATGACAATATGACAAGCGTCTTCGGCAGAAGCGTGAGGATATTGTCAGTGCTACGTTCAACATACTGTCGTCAGGGGAAGATGAGCGTCCACCAGATTGCCGAGACTGGTTATTTGAAGGTAACACCAGACAGCCTTCAGCTGCCACGCTGGTATATTTACACACGCTGGATTGTGATCGCATGATTCAAATATTTCCGGTTAAAATTTAAAGGCGCGGGGATCACGTGTTTAGCAAACGTAACCAACAGTGACTGCTTGACACGTGTGTTGTGGGCGTTGATAGTTCTAGACATGCAGTTTCCTATCGTTTTTTAAGTGTGCATATTTTTCAGTCTGCAACATTAACATCCTAACCATCTGTGGTTTTGTAGTCAAAACGGACTTGTTTGTTTGTTTGTTTCTTGTTTAACGCCGCACTCAGCAATATTCAAGCTATATGGCGGCGGTCTGTCAATAATCGAGTCTGGACCAGACAGTTCAGTGATTGACATCATGAGCAACGATCCACGCAATTGGGATACAATGACATGCATCAACCAAGTCGGCGCGGCTGACCACCAGATCCATTCGTCAGCACTCGCCCCTTTCCGTAACCTGCAAGAAGACTCGTCCCCCTCTCGATGAATGTTATGTGCGAAAATACGACAAACCAATCAGAGTGCGCGTATGATTTCAAGTACTTCGTCAAAGAGTCCCTCAGAAATAATTTTTGATTTTACATATGTCTTGCATCTAAAAATATACCAAAGACACAGTTAAATGTGTTCAATCATATTGTATAATTCCGCACGTCCCGATGTGCTTTAAAAGGCATCTGAAATATATATAATATATGGGGAAATATATGTGAACCATTACGCAACGAATTGACAATTGTTTTAGTTATGTCCGTTTGCGCTAAGACGGAACCCGGTCGCAAAAATGGCCACCAGAGGGGCACGAGTCGCTATTCGGCTTGTCCCGGAATAACACGAGTTGGTCACGAATGCACCAGATCCCGTTTGTCGCCTCTTACGACAAGCATAGTCTTTTACGGCAAGAATGGGTTACTGAAAACATATTTTAACCCGGATCGACTCATATCAGAGGCCTCATATAAGATTATATTAAAATACGATGTTGGCTCTATGTTGGCCCAATATCAGCGTGTTTGCTGGAAACTTTTCATTCCTGTTGTTGTGACACAATACTTGAGTTTGACGTCTTTATGTTTCTCTTTGGCTGTTATAACTTGTTTTGGCTGTCTCCATGGTTTAGTGGTAGAGCGTCCGCCCGGAGAGCGACAAGTCCGGTTTCTATTCCTGGCCGCGTCATATAAGTAGACGTTAAAAGATGGTACTTGTTGTTACCCTGCGCTCGGCATTAAGGGGCTAAAACAAGAACTGGTCGGCTCGGAGTCAGTATACTGTGTCTGGGTTGGGTTTTCATGTTTATCAGTGGCATTGCATCCCAGTGGGTTAGCACGCGCGCGCAGACGCGACTTTAACCGTCACCTATATATTTTGTGGCCTATTTGACTATGGGCTGTGGCCCTTTGACCGATTTCTGTGGCCGTTTGGACTTAACCTCTTGAAGCCGTTCTGACACGAGTCCGTTTTAACCTGCAACGTGTCAAGCCAATTCATTGTGTGTGTCCCACCTGATATGCTTTGAATATTGATAAGACCATTGTCACTAACGCAGTACACTGATAAACCGACAAACTCTCTCCGTAACATTGCATACATATGTGGTGACACCCTACTCAGCAATATTCCAGCTATATGAAGGCGGTATGTAAATAATACTGCATAGAAATAGTATGGTGTTAAACATGCCAACAAACAAAACATTAAAATAATTAGATTATTATTATTATTATTATTTTTTTATTATTTTTTATTTAATTATTGTTATTATTATTATTTTATTATTTTATTTTTTATTTATTATTATTGTTATTATAAATATTTGTTTTCCAAACTTATGAGAGAGGGAAAAAATTAAACCTGGAAGACGTTTGTACTTTATTCATCCTTGGTTCACTCATTCATTCATTCATTCATTCATTCATTCATGCATTCATTCATGCGTCTTTTGGAGCAGCACAATTAACCATCAAATGTAGACGATAAAATGAACATTTTACATTTTACAAAAAAAGGGACTCTAGAACTAGCTGTTGATACAAACGCTGATGGCCGACATAATGAGGACATTTTACCAATAGTGCTGGAAACATCAATATCTCCGGAAATGTAACGTCACGTCAATAAAAGTATAGAGATTAAAACCCGTACATGTTAATGGCCACGTCTTCCCTGATAGCTTCAGGGGTGGTTAACTCCGCTATAGCGACAGGGTCATAAAGGCCCATGCACCATATCGTCACTTCCTGTAACTCGTTTAACCGGATTCCAGATATAATATAACAGTTACGTATATAGTTTCAGAGAACGGATGACAGAAACACTGAAGCTGCGATGCGGGAAATTTTAAAAATCCATTCTTTAATAACATTTTTCTAAAGAAATGAAAATGTTCAATGCGCAGGATTTTAAGTGACTCTTCGATGCCTAAGAAACTTTAACTTTTAGCCTAAACTTGAGAACGCACCATTTATAACACTTGATTGCATTTATGACACTTTATTGTACCGTAAGAGGCATCTATGCTCGTCTTTAGAGGCGACTATGCTCGTCGTTAGAGGCGACTCACGGGATCGGGTATCCCAATTGCGTGGATCGATGCATGCTCATAATGTCAATCACTGGATTATCTGGTCCAGACTCGATTATTTACGGGGCGGTCGGGTAGCCTATTGGTTAAAGTGGTAGCCTAGTGGTTAAAGACCCGGGCTCGATTCCCGACATGGGTACAATATATGAAGCCCATACTCACTCACTAACTCTCTCGATTATTTACAGACCACCGTCATCTAGCTGGAATATTGCTGAGTGCGGCGTTAAACAAACAAATAAAATTTTATTGTATTTTTTCATTCAGCTTTCAACCTATACTTTCAATAAATCCGTATGATACATAATTAGTCAGCATAAGCCAGTACTCGACGCGAGACTTATAACATGCCTGCTCCTCAAACTTGCGGCGTTCACCGACCTTGACCTGTGATAAGACATCGCGATGAGGTCAAGAGGATGTTGGTGAAGGGATTCACTTTATTTTCTGCATTTCGTTCAAGAAGCTTTCGCCTCTGTAGAATGAGTGTCCACAAAGTTGCGGAGGCTGGCTTTCAGAAGGTAAGACAATGTTACCATACTCTTTAAATTCACCTGCGATGAGGTAACGTTTAAAAAAAAGTGCGACCCTCTTGAACACCGATTGTGTTGTTCATGCGTAGACATGTCATTTGATATCGAGCACACTGTCGGTATTTTTTAATTTTTAACATTTTTTAACGTGTGGTGTCCATATACATGCCACCCTATCCTTGTGAGAGACAACTAAATTTAGCATCGGGTTGTGTGACCTGTTTAAGTGTATATCAACCTATATACCCACCGCTTTTATCGTTGCCTTGACCTAGATTTGATTATAAACAGCTGTTACACAGTTGGAATATTACTGCGGTGTTGAATAACATTCACTCACTAATTTTTGTCTGTTTGTTGTTTAACGCCGACCTCAGCAACATTCCAGCTATATGACAGCGGTCTGTAAATAATCGAGTCTGGACCAGACAATCCAATGATTGACATCGTGAGCATCGATCTACGCAGTTGGGATACGGTGACATGCATCAACCAAGTCAGCGAGCCTGACCACCCGATCCCGTTAGTCGCCTCTTACGACAAGCACGGGTGGCTGAATACCTATTCTATCCCGGATCTTCACGAGTGCACTCACTAACTACCAGGCAACCACATCGCCCCTTTCAAGTCAGTAATGATATAATATTCCGTTGTAATCCCATTTTGAAATTGTGAAGATTTGATTTGAATTAAAGTGGCAATAAGGACTGCGTCATTTACTAACTAACGCAGTCCTATTGTCACATTAATTCAAATAAAATATTCACAATTTCAAAATGGGATAACAACGAATCAAATATCATTACTGACTTGAAAGGGGCGATCTGGTAGCCCAGTAGAAGCTTTCATTCTCACGAAGACCCAGGTTCGACTCCTCTGGTACAATGTGGGAAGCCAGTTCTTTGTTTCACCAGACGTGCTATGGCTCTAGGGTGCACGGGTGGCCCAGTCGTCTAAGGCGCCGCGATTCGTTGTGCAGAGTTGCGTCCCTTGGGCACGCCAGAAACCTATGATTGTATGTTCGAATCCCGGTTCGCCCCGATTATGTTTCTAGGTTTGTACGCACCATACCCGTGCTCGTGGGTTTCACCGAAGTGGTAAACGTCTTAGACCTGCATCACTTCGAGCTTTCCTCCCACATTAAGCTGACACGCCGTGATACAACTGGAATACTGTTAAAAGCGGCGTTAAACACAACTCACTCACTCGCTATGGCTGTAATCGTTCAGAAAAGTTCAATATTTACTCATACGCATGAATGTACGAGTCACAATGTCTTCTAAATCATTTATTACAGTGTGGGCAGCAACGTAGCGTATCCTGAATACATTCCACATACATTTCTCCTCAGGGCGCCCATTATAACGCCAACAGACCTTCTTATAGCGAGGAGGCTGTAGACCTCATCACGGGCACAGTTTCTGGAATACAAACACGTGACACAGGTGAGTGTTGCGCACGTGCACTAGAGAACTGTATTGCCGTAATCCTACATAGGCATTAAGTACCCGAATCGACGAAGGAAGTGGGTGCTCACTCGCCTAAGGTGCCGCGATTCGCTCTACAGAGTTGCGTAACTTGGGTATGCTTGAGACAAGCTCCTTCCCAGCGCGTGACACCTTCGTTACACTCTCGGTAACATCGCTGCCACCAGTGTGGGCGCGGCCATTACAAGAATCTTGAAATTTGCCCTCCAACCCCATATGTAGTAACGTTTATACTTTTGTTTATGTCTTTGGGAATGCCATCATATTTCATTTTGAAAAGCTTTACGACTGACTATGTTTTCCAGATGAATTTACTTCGTTGTTTTAATAATCAGATTGGTTCGAGATTGCAGACAAACGGAAAATCAACCAACTTCTCCCTTACATTCTTACTATATCAATAACACGATAGTTTTAATGAAACAGAAATTCAAATTGACAAACGAAGCAAGTAATTTAGCAGAGATAAGTGTATTCGGCGTCACGACAGTCGTCACTTGTTTGTAAACATAACGGTCCTTCGGTTGCGAGTTCAACTCCAAGCATGGTTGTGGCCACCTATTCACAGTGGGGAGTTTTGACTGGTGGCAGCGATAGTATAGAGAGCTTGTGCTTGAGACTGAAATAAACATGGGTTTAAATTCCCGATATGCCCTGATTATAGTTCTTGGTTTGTCGGAACCAAACCCGAGCTGATGGGTTCCAAAGTGGTAAGAGATCAGAGAGTTACGTCTCTTCTTTGCAAATCCAAACGATAAAATACAACGTAAATTCTTTCATGGAACGGGATATTCGTTTATTTTTTCTCTTACTAAAGGATAATTATAAGTAGATTAACTTGCATTTGAGCGGAACTGTACTTCAGGATCGGCGGGAGATTAGATTCATGCAAACAAAGATAGATGGCCTGATGGACGTAAAACGCTTTTTTGTAGTGATTCTCTTGGTTCAATCGATGTAATTAATATAAAAGAAGTGTCAAATTTAAATCATGTATTAAACGTGGATGTTGGTAACGCCATGTGTTTGTTTGTACAGTGACGTACGATGTCCTGGAACTGGGCGCAGGCACCGGACTTTTCACCAAGAGAATAAACCAGAAACTACCAAAGGTTCGATTTCAGTATCGACATGATGTTTGTTTTGTTTGTTTGTTGTTTAACGCCGACCCCAGCAATATTCCAGCTATATGACGGCTATCTGTAAATAATTGAGTTTGGACCAGACAATCCGGTTATTTATATCATGAGCATGGATCCACGCAATTGGGATACGATGACATGCATCAACCAAGTCAGCGAGCCTGACCACCCGATCCCCTTAGTCACCTCTTACAACAAGCATAGTCGCCTTTTACGGCAAGCATGGGTTGCTGAAGACTAATCTAACCCGGATCTTCACGGGTCTCGACATTATGCTAACAATATGTCTTAGACCTACCTTTTAAGATGTGTCATACTGCGGTTGGATAGCCTTATTCATAAAGCGTTCGCCCCTCACGCCCAAGTCCTGGTTCTCTTCTCACTATGGGTGCAATGTTTAAGGCCTATTCTTGGTTTACCTGCCGTGATATGGCTTGTATATTACAGTGTAATCCCCTACCCCAACCACAAAAGGAATCAAATGGATGCTCCCTAAGGTGGTATTTCATGTATACATTCTCTGACATATTAAATATATGCTGTGCCGCGTTAGCCACGCAACAAATACCTTCTGTTTTTGTGCGAATTGTACGAGTGGCGGTCGCTGTCGGTAGAGCAAGGCATGCTTACCCTTTTGGGGAACATCCACAGGACCTCGTTATTGGTCAGTAAATAAAAAATATATAACCCCTATATGTAGTTCTCTACTTACATATAGGGGGTATATATTTTTATTTACTGACCAATAACGAGTTCCTGTGGGAACTTCTGGTGTCGTCCATCCATACAATTTCATATTCCATGTCCATATAACTATTTTTCCCTTGACGCCCAATTGACTGTGTTTCGGTCGATAATCGAAACTGATTACTGTCTGGCGTTGACATTTTATTAACACACTTGCTTTATCCTAACTAGACTTCCCGTTACCTGGCAACAGAGCCATCGGCAGGGTTTCTTCCGGTTCTTCAAAAGAGTTGCCCGGATGTGGAGACACGCCAGTGTGCAGCAGACTCCATACCTTTATCTGACAGTGCGGTCAAGGTAAATATGTTTCCACATCTGGCCACGAGGTGAGGTGAGGTGAAATTGGGTTTAACGTCGCGTCCAAGATTATTGCACTTATATAGCGACGTGCATGCGCATGTGTGTGTGTGTGTCTGCTTGTACTAGTCCGGACCGATGCCGATTTATAGTGCTAACCCACTGAGAAACCATGCCGCGGTTTAACATGAATACCCCAATCAGACACAGTATACTGACTCCGAGCCGACCAGTCCTTGTTTTAGCCCCTTAATGCCGAGCGCCATACAGGGTTACAACAAGTACCATCTTTTAACGTCTTTTTGTATGACGCGGCCGGGGATCGAACCCCGGACCTTCCGCTCTCTGGGCGGACGCTCTACCACAAGACCACGGAGGCGGTCCATCTGGCCATGAAGCTCCAGACGACTTTGTTGTGTTTCATTTAATAATTACCCAGTAATGCCAGCATTTGTTCGAGGGCAGGGTATAGCCGTGTGATTTAAGAGTTCTCTTGTTGCACCAAAGACCCGAGTTCGATTCCCTACATGGGAAATATACTATACAATATGACAAAAACAATTAGGGATCGTGAATATTTTGGGAATATCTATTTGTTGTGAACACTGAGCACACAATGTCATTAAAACAATCCTCCTAAATATTCATGACCCCCCTAACATGTTTGTTCAGTATAGATGCCCCCGCCGACACATGGCTTGAATATGGCGAAAAGAGACGTGAAAGCTCGCTTACCAGCTACACTTCATAAACACAAGAGCACACAAAGCTCTAAACCAAGACTGGAAACAGCTTAATCGCATTACCTCTCCTACTCGTGATACATCTTCCCGAGGAAAGGGAGTTAGCTGACTGTAAAAGTCCAGTTTCTACCCTTGCTGAACTAGGCTGGAATTTCTGGGTGATCGTAGCGCCACCAGTGGCTATTACGAGTTATGTCCCTTCTGTGTCCCTCCTATTGACCAATCAGATTTCAGCTCTCATATCACTTGCATTTGCTTCAAACAAAATGGCGGCGCCCAGTCACGATCTGATCGATGATCAAGATCTATGTTTATTATAATAAAACGGGTCTTACGTCAAATCACGTGAGCACCTTGATTAAAAACATAAAAAGATTTGGAAAATTTCTGTTGACGACATGTTGACTGCACACATGGTTTGCAAATCCTGCAATCGAGCGAAATCTGCTTGTGCTTCAAACACAATGATCAAGATCTATATTGTAATAAAACGGGTCTTCCCTCGCGTTGTGCATCAAATTAAGTGAGCAATTAAAAACATGAAAAGATTTGGAAAATATCCGACGACGCCCAGTTGACGTAACACATCCTTTGCTTTTCCTACGGTGGACCAAAATCTGCAGGTTGTAATCCATGTTGTGTACAAACCGGATTACTCTTTCTCCACAGGCGGTGATCTGCGCCCAAAGTTTCCATTGGTTTCCATACAGTCATGTCCTGGACGAAATACGACGGGTGATGGTGGATGGAGGGAAGCTTAGTGAGTACCTAGATCTTTATTGTCACTCTGAGAAGAGAACTTACAGGCTCGTTTAGGATTCGAATCAAAGTAGGCCCCGAGTACTCCGCACTTGTTGTGGAAGCCATCATAATGAGGTGGTGAGGTGAAATGGGGTTTAACGTCGTGCCAAGATTATTGCACTTGCGTGTGTGTGTGTGGCTGCTTGTACTAGTCCGGACTGATGCCGATATATAGTGCTAGCCCACTGAGATACCATGCCGCAGTTTAACATGAATACCCCACTCAGACATGGTATACTGACTCCGAGCCGACCAGTCCTTGTTTTAGCCCCTTAATGCCGAGCGCCAGACAGGGTAACAACAAGTACCATCTTTTAACGTCTTTTGGTATGACGCGGCCGGGGAACGAACCCCGGACCTTCCGCTCTACCACTAGACCACGGAGGCGGTCCCATCATAATGAGGCTTGGGTGGACACAGTGTGTACCATTGGTGATTGGATGGCGCTGTACCAGTGGCTCTGTATCCATGTTGTCAACGACATGTTTGGCTGGCCCACACTCGTGTGTTAGAGGTTACAGCTGGAATGACTGACTGCTGCATAAAATACCTTCACTGTTGTTTCTCATACAGGCATTCTTGGTACCTTGGTGTAATCTTGATTTTATTTGTCTGCCTGTAGAACAACTAGAGTTACTGTACTTGTTCAATCATTCCCTGAAGTGAGTGAGTGAGTTGGGTTTAACGCCGCTTTAAACAGTATTCCAGTTATATCACGGCGTTTCAGCTTAATGTGGGAGGAAAGCCCGAAGTGATGCAGGTCTCAGACGTTTACCACTTCGGTGAAACCCGCGAGCACGGGTATGGTGCTGACAAACCTAGAAACATAATCAGGGCGAACCGGGATTCGAACCCACAATCATAGGTTTCTGGCGTGTCCAAGGGACGCAACTCTGCTCAGCGAATCGCAGCGCCTAAGACGACTGGGTCACCCGTGCCCCCCATTCCCTGAAGGGACGAGAAGCCCTGTGACGTCGTTAGAAGTTTTCATCCTTTGGTAATTAACAAAAGGAAACACAAAGGGAGGTCATTCCCGAAGGTATAAAATGCAGATTGTAGTTCAGTCGTTCATTAAATGATGCATGTCCTCGAATCCCAATAGCGTGGATCGATGCTCATGATGTCAATCACTGGAATGTCTGGTACAGATTCGATTGTTTACAGACCGCCGTCATATACCTGGAATACTGCTGACAGACAAATATATTTAATTTGCATACATTAAATTGTGTACATGAGGTCGACAGTACAATGATTCTCATTACACTGTTGTCATGGAACGCCATATATATTATTCGAGTATGTGGAACCACCTCTGTGTAGTGAATGGAGCGGAAGTCGGTGGTTCGATCCCCGGCCGCGTCATTCCAAAAGATGCAAAAAACTGCTGCTTGTTGTTACCCTGCCTGGCGCTCAGCTTTAAGGGTATAAAACAATGACGTGTCGGCTCGAAGTCAGTATACTGTGTCTGAGTGTGAAATTCATGTTTTACTGCGGCGTGGTATATCAGTTAGTGAGCGCGCACACACGCACTCGCGCATTGACGCACATATATGCCGCTATATAAGTGCAATAACATTGACGATAAACCCCACTTAACACAACATGACCAGTCTTGGCGATATATATCTTTTCCTCGTTGTTTAAACATTTAGAAATGCAAGTTTTTTTCCTATGTCCTGAAGTAACCAGGCTTATGGAAATCCATGTGAACATCTCCCTTACAACAGAGGTTTAATTTATGTCGCGTCAATCATCACGTCTCTTCTGGTTGACGGAGAAGGCGTATCTAGTTTCATAAACTCTTCATTCGTAATTTACATATGAACACATGCACAAAAGTTAAGCGCCACCCACCATATTTGTGAGCTGTTGCTTTTGGCACTTAATGATGACTATTATAATGAGATGTGGGGCGGTCGGGTAGCCTAGTGGTTAAAGCGTTCGCACGCCCCGCCGAAGACCCGGGTTCGATTCCCGACATGGGTACAATGTGTGAAGCCCATTTCTGGTGTCCCCCGCCGTGATATTGCTGGAATATTGCTAAAAGCGGCGTAAAACCATACTCACTCACTCACTATAATGAGATGTACGATTGTTATAAGCCGTATATGTAAACCTCATGTGATGCAAAAGTTGTCCCAAAGCAAGTTTATCTTGTGTTCCAAAAGAATATGAGCAGAAAGGAATTATACCGAAGACCAGAAATTGAAGGATTAGAAAACATTGAAAAACCTTTTTTGTCATGTTACTGTCATGATATCAGCAGACCATTTCAGGTGTAACATAGACACCCTAGGGAGTGCAGAGTCTATTGCAAGACAGAAACGCCAGTAACGTGTGTATGATCCACGGACATTGACCACAGCTTCAACCCTACGCCCCATACTCATTACAAGTCGTTGAATGCTTCTCTGAGGCAAACGGATCCATTCTTCATGAAGTGCGGCTTCAAGTCCAGCGAGATTTTGAACTGGGGGATCACGATGTCTGATTTTCCGGCCAAGAATGTCCCAGAGATGCTCAATCGGATTAAGATCCGGACTACAGGCCGGCCAAGGAAGAGTGACAATAGCTTCTTGACGCAAATAAGCCCAAACTGCTCGAGATCTGTGTGGTCTAGCATTGTCGTCCATGTAAACGGGTCTTGTCTGAAGAGGATGGTTGTCAAAATGAGTGACTACCACTGGAAGAAGAATGGCATCTTGGTATTGTTGGCCATTCAGTTTTCCACGAATTGTCTTGCAATGGCTCTGCATGACATGCCAGCATTTTTCATGCCTATCACTTGCCATCTTTCAGCGTTCGTTAACTTTCTCCTCACCATGGCTGATTTTCAACCTCTATTGAAAGGGGAATCTCACACAGGAGCAAAATGCAACCACGTGTCTGAAACTTGAATTTCAGTATTTATAGGGTAGGGGAACTGCAGCAACACGTAAAGCACGCTTTCCTTGTGGTATCTGGACAAATTTGGGTTCATTAAACTATGGAAGCCTAATTCAGTCATACATCATCATATTTCGTATTTCTGATTCCCACACGTGAAATCAAGAGACTATGAATATGGTGGCGCTTAACTTTTGTGCATGTGTATACAGTACAACGATTGCCTTATTTGGAGTGATGACAGTGAGTGATTGAGTGAGTGAGTATCGTTTTACGCCGCTTTTAGCAATATTCCAGCAATATCACGGCGGGGGACACCAGAAATGGGCTTCACACATTGTACCCATGTCGGGAATCGAACCCGGGTCTTCGGCGTGACGAGCGAACACTTTAACCACTAGGCTACCCGACCGCCCCGGAGTGATGACAGTATAAGGATTGCCAAATATTTCGTGTACCCGTGAAGATCTAGGGTAGAATAGGTCTTCAGTAACCCATGCTTACCGTAATAGGCGTCTTTGCTTGTTGTAAGAGGCAACTAACGGGATCGGGTGGCCAGACTTGTTGACTTGGTTGATGCATGTCATCATATCCCATTTGCGTGGATCGATACTCATGACATCAATCAGTGGATTGTTTGGTCCAGACTCGATTATTTACAGACCGCCGTCATATAGCGATAATATTGCTGAGTGCAGCGTTAAACAAAAAAAAAAAGCCTTATTTGGTGATATTTGGCATATGTATCATCATTTTAACTCGTAATAGAAATCTTGCTTCAAACTAAATTGATCCATTTTGTGTTTAGTACTGATCTGGAACAAGAAGGACTGGTCGGTTCCGTGGATAAGTGAAATACAAAGCTACATATCGAAAGAAGATGATACAAGACCCGTGCACAATGTAGGCGGATATCTTGCCTGGAGGGAAGTATTTCAAGATTACACCGGTTTCAAAGACGCAAAATACATCCAATTACCTGGAGTTGAGTTTAAGGTGAATTAATACTAGATTATGGAACAAGAACCTCTTTAGCAGAGAAAGCAATTTACATTTATCAATGGATATAAATAAATCCAGTGAAAACCTGTATCTGGCCCTGGTGTTCCTCAGGGCTTAGTGCTTTGACCCTTATTATTTTGCTATTCACAATTGACTTTGTAGCATATATTCCTGACGAAATTCTATATCTATATTATTGTACATGATCCCGAATCTACGAATACGCCATTAAAGGAAGATTTAAAATTAATTACAGGATTGGCAAATTCATAGAAAGTAAATTATATTCTTTACTGTTCTATAGCAAGAGAACGGCAACCATAACTATTTATGAACATTCAATTGTTATTGCCCATAACCGTCTTTGGCTAACTTTGTTATGTGATGGTCTTTGGATGATGCAAATAAGCGATAGTGTTGCCAAAGCTATACTTTTAGTGTCTTCGAAATCTTGAAAAGCTCCTGAAAAGAAGCCTTGAAGCCCGTCGGCAAAATATAGATCCCCAGCAATCTGTGCTTGATGAACGAGGCGACTAAATTGCCTGTACAATTACCAATAAATATTTTATATTTTGTGAATAAGACATTTTCAAATACTTTAATTCTGGTAATAAGAAACCCCAAAATCAAGTGCTTTATTTCGTTGAATACTTTGGATTTTTTACTGTGAATACTTGTGTTATACATCACAACATTTCGTTGCCAGGGCAACCAGGATTTCGTGGTTGATCACATGTCCTCAATTAGCGTCATGGCGGGTCTTTCTGACGAGCGGGCCCGACAGGCTCTGGGAGACATCCGGGCTATCCTTCAGAAACACCCGGAAACCAAGGACAACGACTTGATTCAGATTCCGTTCACCACTGAGGTCTACATTTACACGTGTCACAAGCCTTCCTAGCTGCATGTGGTTTGTTAACGATTACTACCAGCAATGACTGCTGTTATTTTCCATCTTCCCTAGGCAAGGGAGTTAACTGACTATATAGGTCCAACTAACTAGGTTGGAATTTCTCGGCTCGATCGTAGCGCCACCCGTGGCTTTGACGAGTTATGTCCCTTCTGTATTCTCCTGTTGACCAATCAGATTTCACCTCTCATATCACTTGCATTTGCTTCAAACAAAATGGCGGCGCCCAGTCAATACGATCTGATTGATGATCAAGATCTATATTATAATAAAACGGGTCTTACGTCGCGAAGTGCATCAAATCACGTAAGCACCTTGATTAAGGACATGAAAATTAATGGAAAATTTCTGTTGACGACATGTTGACTGTACACATGCTTTTCAAACTCTGCAATCGACCGATATCTGCACGGCAGTTTACGAATCGGGTGTCGATTTCGTTACGCGATTTAATTGGACTATACATAGACTCGTTAGTCCAGCCAAAATATAACTCCGTAGTTTCAAGCCAAGTGCGGCAATGGTGGAAACTGGACTTATATAGTCAGTTAATTCCCTTGCCTCGGGGAGATTTTTATTCTCATTTATCAGTATCATTCATCACTGAAATGTACATCCACACGTATAATTTAAAACCCCAGCTGCGAGTGGCTAGGTAACGAACACTGTACGAGCAATGACATATGTTATGTTTTTTTTTATTGATCAGAATCATTCACCACTGAATCTACATCTACACGTGTCTTAAGACGCCCTAGTTGCGCGTGGTTTTGGTGAAGTCTTCTGTCCGAGCTGTGCCTTGCACGTAACATACACATGATTTTATTAATCAATTTTTCACCACACACGATATATATTCCGCTGTGTATATACACAAAGAATAGCGCCCGTGTTCGGTTGTCACGTGCATTGACGTGGCAAGATATATGAGTGTTTGTAATAAGCAAGGCAAAGGATTTTATTCATTCCCAGACGAAATCTGCGGTAAAATTATGAAATTTCTTCGGTAAATTTACCAAACTTCTAAAGCTAAAATGTTTCCTCCAAAATTAATATAAGCTCATGTGCATGGTCCCACTGATATTTCTGATCAGATGTAAACCTAGTTTATGTTGTCCTAATACCAAAACAACGTTTAATAGTGAGAGTTATTTACTTCCAATTTTGTTTTATTGTAGGATTTATATTTTGTGTTTTTGAATCGCTTGTTAAATGTTTTGAGTGCAAATTTTATAGAAAAGCTTGAAAATATTGAAAATAAAACACATTCCATATTCTGATGTGTCTGTTTTGATATCATTTATAAACCCACCTGGACCGAAGGTTAAGGTGAGCGTTTGTCATGGCGCGTTGTTCGTCGTCTGTCCTTAATCATAAACTTTTAACATCTTCTCAGGACCGGCGGAATGGAAGAACTAAAGGAGAAAGTCTAGCATCACCGTGACTCGGCTTGCGGTGATGGCGTAAAAATATAAAAGAAACAAACTCTATTCATAAACCAAACACGTTAGTTTGATTATTGCGCCACAGTCGGTTTCGAATAAATGTAAAAAATTAAATCAGCTTTAAACGTTGGTGCAATACACAGGAATTAGCCAATGATGTCAGTCCATTCTGTTCAAGCTGGTGGCTGGGCTGGATTTGACCTGACACACCTAGATCTCAAAGTCTTGTTAAAATGCTTACACGGTCATACAGGAAAGATAATGAACTTTTGTATCTTACTAATAAAAATGACGAAAGTCTGGAGTTCTGGACATTGTCAAGGGAGCGAATGACAGAATCACAACGAATTTTGAAAAATACTCAAACTGTTTAGATGCTAAAAATCAATAACTGGTGTAGTGGTGGGTGGGTAGGAGGTAGTGTGTCATATTTCACTAGTTAATGGAATTCAACGTTGAGTATTTATCTTCATTCATAAAGGAAGGAAGATTACCTGGTTTATGATTCGATTTGATTAGGATGATAATCATGCTCACAATTAATCTGTAGTAAACCTTTCAGATCCTAGACGTATGTGAGATAGTTATGTTAATATTAGCTTTGAACTGTTACAGTATTTGTGCTATCATGACGTGTCAGTTTAATATCCAAGACGTTAGATGTTTATCCCTTTGGTAAAATCTTCTATAACCATGTAATATCTGAATAATTAGAAACAGATTACTGATTAAAGTCTGTTGAATCTGAAAACTAAAATGTGCTTTAAAATATAATATATAATACATAATTACAATGCATATTTCCGCAGCAGGGGTGACCCAATAGTTAAAAGCGCCGTATATTGTTATGCAGGATTGCGTCCCTTAGACGAGCCAGAATCTTATGGTTGTGCGTTCGAATTACAGAAATGCCTGCTTTATGATCCTCGGTTTGCCAACACTGTTCCGGTGCTTGTTAGTTTCACCGAAGTAGTAAATGTCTAAGACTTGCATAACTTCGGCCTTTCCTGCCACATTTGAATGTCACTGCTTGACATAATAACTGAAATACCGCTCAATACTGCATTATTATTTTTTCGAAATTAAGGATTTCGAAGTAAAAAGCGCTTCAATAGTTGTCTTCATTTCATAATTATTTTTCCCTGTTTCCATCAACGTGTTCGATAAGACATCGACTTTTTGTACCGAGCATGTTTTACATTTTTTGTCCGTGAAAAAATCTACATCATTTGTTTATTAGGGCGGTCACTACGATGCGAACCGGCCAACCTACACCAAGGAGACCATTGACCTCATTGCAAGGGAGATAACTCAAGTTGAAAATATCGAAAATACCAAAGGTACATACATATTAATTTTTTTAAAATCAATGGTTAATGTAGCTCAACATTTTTGTCTAAATTAATTGCGTCTGTACCAGTATATGACCATTTATACTGGATGTTTTGAAAACTAAGTTGTTGTATATAAACAATTTCAGAGAAAATATATGTTTGGTTTTACGTACTGACTGAAAAAAATATGCGGTGTCAAATAATAATCCCTGGTATCCACGCCCTGAATGTAAAATGGTCTGTCAATCAGTTGATTCAGTTAATTTCACGACGCCGTCATATAGCTGGACTATTGCTGACTGGACGTTAATAAAAAACAAAGATACAAAATAATGTTTTATGATTTTAGGGATTCAGTATGATGTGCTTGAGCTTGGTGCCGGGACTGGGATATTCACGAGAAAAATATTTGAAAAATTACCTGAGGTAGGTGCGTGTGTAAAGGAGTGGGAGTGAGTGTGTGGAGTTTGACGCCGGTTTTAACAAAGCTCACAAATCATACCAAATGTGTTTGCCGGGTTGGAATAAGTGTTCAGCAACCCATGCTTGCCGTAAAAGGCGACTATGCTTGTCGTAAGAGGCGACTAACGGGATCGGGTGGTCATGCTCGCTGACTTGGTTGATGCATGTCATCGTATCCAAATTGCGTGGATCCATGCTCATGATGTCAATCACTGGATTGTTTGGTCCAGACTCAATTATTTACAGACCGCCGTCATATAACTGGAAAATTGCTGAGTGCGGCGTTAACAAACTAACAAACCAATGGGTGTATTTGGTTCAGTCATTAATTAGTATTCGGAACAAGCCTAATGTTAGGAAAGGTTGTGAGAATACTTAGATATAGATAGTGCAGTTTTAATTTCTTACACAGGGTACCCGTTACCTGGCAACAGAGCCCTCGGACGCCTTCCTGCAGACGCTCAAAGGCATGTCTCCAAACCTGGACGCCAAGAACTGTGCCGCTGACAGTATACCACTGCCGGATAACTCGGTGAAGGTAAAATGTGTGATATTTTATGTTTCGTGAATACTTGCAGTCGTCACTGTGTAACTCTCGTACAGCGAATAGTATGGTTTTAAACGTTTGTTGGAGTGAGAGGTCTATTATTGTGATTTGATACCCTATCAGTGTCCAGTACATGCATTAGTTTTCTTCAGGACCATGGTCGAAAATGATTATAGATTATGATTATCCACTTTCCGGTTTATCTTGCCTCATAGTGAGTGAGTGAGTGTGGTTTTATGCCGCTTTAGCAATATTCCAACAATGTCACGGTAGGGGACGCCACACCTTCCGAGGCAAGGGAGTTAACTGACTGTAAAAGTCCAGTTTCCACCCTTGCCGAACAAGGCCAGGATTTCGATTGGCCGCCATCAGTGGCTGTTACGAGTTATGTCCCTTCTATGTCCCTCCTCTTGACCAATCAGATCCCGCCTCTCATTACACATGCGTTTGCTTTGAACAACATGGCGGCTATCTGATAGGTAATCAAGATCTTTATTGTAATAAAACGGGTCTTACCTGGCGAAGTGCATGAACACTTGAGCCCCGTTATTAAAAACAAGAAAATATTTGGGAAATATCTGTCGATGCCAAGTTAACAGTACACCTGCTCTGCTATTACTGCAATCGATCTAAATCTGCACGGCAGTCCCCATGTTGTTTTTGAACGGGATGTCCATTTCGGTACGCAATTTTGATTGGACTATGCATAGACTCCATAATTCCACTTTCCTAGTCAGTTAAGTCCCTTGCCTAAGGAAGATGGGGACACCAAAAATGGGCTCCGCACATTGTACCCATGTAGGGAATCGAACCCTGACTCGCGAACGCTTTAACCACTAGGCTACCCAACTGCCCCATCCAGCGCAATAAAGTTTATAGAAAGTCCATGTTGGCTGCGTTTGGTGGTTCATCATAAGCTTTTACAACACTTAGATACAAACTTATCTTCTATTTGAAAGCAAAAGCAAATAGAACATGTCACGTAATAATAATATGAAAGAAACTAGTTTCAATTAGCCATCACACCTGTGCTGTTCGACATTGCCTATCGACATGGGATTGAAGAGATCCAAATGACCTTATATGGAATGACGGGGTAACTCGCGATCGCAAGGCAAGATACCGTAAATAATTGAATAAGCGCATGTTGTTATATATTTCGGAAGGCTCTTAGACCAAGCCATTATTCGAAGAGGGTAATTGTTTTCTGAGAAGTTTGCATATTATTTTTCATATTATTAAACAAAGCGGACTTCTTTTTCTTTAGCATTTGATGACCTAGATTTACGCATATCTATTCTTTGTTGGAGAAATCTGTGTGCATCTGTAACGTTGTATGTAATTCCAGGCGGTTCTATGTGCCCAGTGCTTCCACTGGTTCTCCACCACAGCGGCTCTAGATGAAATGAGGAGAGTCTTGGTGGATCAAGGAAAACTGGGTAAATCTTAAGTAATCTTAATGAGTTAATTGTCTTGGCAAATATTTATGCTAGCAAGTTTATTTTTTCGGAAGACATTCCAAATACAATTTCTGTCCAACAAAACCTCTATGGTGTATGCCATGGTAGAATGTTTTATTCCTCTTTTTACACAAAGACGCATCTCAGTTTCAACCTGTGGACAAAACAACTTGGCAAAAGAATGATTGTGGCTAAAAATGGAACAAACAAGAAATGGTTATTCGATGTTAATGTATTTGTAATTCACTGGAGTGTCTGGTCCAGACTCGATTAATTACAGACCGCCATCATATAGCTGGAATATTGCTAAGTGCGGCGTTAAACAACAAACAAACATACCAAAAGACGTTAAACGATGGTACGTGCTGGTTATCGTTGTCGCCACATGTATAACGATGTCCAGCTATTGTCCAGTGCTGGTGTGGAACATGCGGGACGTGTCCGTGCCGTGGGTCAAACAGATAGAGGGACTTGTGGCCAAGGCTGCCGGGCAGGGTGCGGACAAGCTGCCCACCACCTTCCACTGGAGAAAGGTCATGCAGGGGTATTCCGGTTTCAGGAACGAGGCTCATCAGCGGAAGGAGGGAACTCCGTTACAGGTGAACTTTCACATCACGTGGTATACAGTCGGTTTTTGTTTAATCCCACGTCACGGAAGGGCGGATATAGGTGTTGTCCGTCCGTCAGTCCGTCACGTTTCGTTTTCGGAGCAGAACTAAAACAACATGAGAGATATCTTAACCAAATTTGGCACAAAGATAGGTCTAGTGGTGAACTATTGTCTTTTGATAGTTTGGGATTTTTTAACAATTTATTTTTCGAGTTTCCATGACAACGACTTTGACAATGGCGGTAGTGCTCCTTTCCGGAGCAGATCTTGAAAACTGTACAATATTTCTTCACCAAACTTGGCACATAAATAGGTCCAGTGCATCTTCCCGAGGCAAGAGAGTTAACTGACTTTAAAAGTCCAGTTTCCACCCTTGCCGAACTAGGCTGGAATTACTGGGCAAGATCGTAGCGCCACCAGTGGCTATTACCAGTTATGTCCCGTCTAAGCCTCTCCTATGGACCAATCAGATTCCACCTCTCGTATTACTTGCGTTTGCTTCACACAAAATGGTGGCGCCCAGTCAGGATGATCTGATCGATTATCAAGATCTATATTGTGATAAAACGGGTCTTACATCGCGAAATGCATCAAATCACGTGAGCACCTTGATTAAAAACATGAAAAGATTTGGAAAATATCTGCTGACAATGAGTTGGCGGTGCACATGCTTTGCAAATCCTGCAATCGACCGAAATCTGCACGTCAGTTTACGAACCGGATTTCGATTTCGGTGCGCGATTTTGATTGGACTATGCACAGACTCGTTAGTCCAGCCAAAGTGTAACTCCATAATACCAGCCTAGTTCGGCAAGGGTTGAAACTGGACTTTTATAGTCAGTTAACTCTCTTGCCTGGGAAGATGGGTCTAGTGGTAATCCGGTGCCTTTTGATAGTTTGGGATATTAAAACATTTTTTTTTCGAGTTTTTAAAGACATATTAACTTGGCAGGTGGTATGAGTATACCATGCTTTTTCCAATTCCAAGTTGAGTTTGAAATATTCGTATTTTTAATAATATTAATGTACTGATGTGCCAGGATCACGGAGTTCGAATCCCAGATTCACCACGTTTGCGAAGCAGACTTGGCGAGCACCATATCCTTGCTAAGAGGTTTAAATCAACGCGGTAAACGTCCGCGCCCTGCGTCATTTCTGATCCCACATCAAGCTGATCATGACAGACCCTGTTATTGAGATACAGTCACGGCGGTGTTAACTAACCAACGTGCACTTTTCAGGACTTGATGACCATAAGAAGTTTGTTTGTTTGTTTTGATTTTAACGCCGGACTGAGCAATAGTCCAGCTATTCCCGACACGGGTACAATGTGTGAAGCCCATTTCTGGTGTCCCCCGCCGTGATATTGCTGGAATATTGCTAAAGGCGGCGTAAAAACCATACTCACTCACTCATTATAAGACGAATGCATTTGGCCCAACTGACCCACCCACTCATGGGCTTAGCTAGCCAAGTCGTCTAAGGCGCCGCAGTTCCGTGCAGAGTTACGTCCCTTAGGTGTTTCCAGGTTTGTCTGCACCATACCTGTGCTCGTGAGTTTCACTGTCATACATCTGTTACAGGGAACAGTTGAGGCAATCCTCAAGTATTACTCCACCTTCAGTATGATATGTGCCCTGGAGGAACAGGAACAACGCCAGACTCTCGCCGACATCCGGGACATCCTGGACCAAAATGTGGCAGGGAAGGATATCGGGAAGTACCCCTTTAACACCGAGATTTACACATACATCTGCAACAAGTCGTGATGGGGGCGCCTGGTACAGCAAATAGTACCAGCTCTGAATGGCAGAGACAATTACACACGCGAAGAAAATTGTTATTGTAATTGGTGACTCGTAACTAGATGTCATGGTTTGTTTTAAGATGTAACACAACGCATCGTTCAGGAATAAAAGCTTTATTAACTGGATTACAAATGGCTCTGGCTCTCACTCGGGGCCGTTTCAAAGTGTGCTGTCGGGGTGGGCGGGGGGCCCAGTCTAGGCCCAGTCGTCTAAGGCGCCGCGATTCGCTGTGCAGAGTTGATTGTGGGTTCGAATCCCGGTTCGCTCTGATTATGTTTCTAGGTTTGTCAGAACCATACCCGTGCTCTTGGGTTTCACCGAACTGGTAAACGTCTGAGACCTGCATCACATGGGCTTTCACCACATTAAGCTGATGATACGCCGTGATATACCTGGAATAATGATAAAAGCGGCGTTAAACCCAACTCACTCACTCACCAACTGTGTGCTGCTGTTGATGTTTGCCTCTTGGTCAACCCAAGTTCTCAGTCTGCCCCCAAGTTGTAGTCTCGTTATGCCGTCTGTCTCTGTATTTAAGGTGTAATAGATCCCTCCCCTTTGGCGGCCAAGAGTTTACCCCGTGGAAGACGTAAACAAGTTGTCGGTAGTCACTGCGTAGTGGACTTTCGTCCAGTACAATCTAATTTCTGTCACTAATTCTCTGACCATGTAGTGCCTCAATGTTTACACCACATCCGACGATATATTCATGTACATATCATCATTACTGCGGATGAGGATGGGGAGGGGTGGGGGCGGCGTTTGTTTGAATAGTAGATAAGTGTATATTTGGAGCGGCAAAGTCATCTCAGGGTCCGCAATTTGTTGTGAAGCGCTAATCCTATATGAGTGCCAGAAACTCATGTTCGAATTCGCACTGATTATGTTTCTTAATTTGTCAGCAACAACGTCTTTGTTTGTTTGTTTGTTGTTTAACGCCGCACTCGGCAATGCTCAAGCTATATGACGGCGGTCTGTAAGTAATCGGGTCCTTAATTTCTCATTATGATAAATTGCTTCTTATACCGAAGCTCACATAAAGTGATTAATTTCACATTTTTTGCAGTCGTCTTCTTTTTATTAGAATTACAAGTCAGTCGAGTGAGTGAGTATGGTTTCACGCAATATTCCAGCAATATCACGGCGGGGGACACCAGAAACGGGCATCACATATTATACCCGTGTTGGGAATCGAACCGGATTGAGGGAGTCATAATTATTAAAATTTGGGCAAATATTATTAAAACTTGTACATTTTATCAACATCCGCATAGAGGCTGTATGTTATGTTGATATCTCATAGTTTTTTTCTCCCTGCAGTGTTTTACTGTTTACTGTACGATTAACAAATCCCACTCGTCGTTTATTTCTTAAATGAACCACACTTCGTTTTATATTGTTCTTTGCGAGTTATCGCGTAGCTCTCTTGTATACGAATATTAACAACATAAAATTTAATCCATTCATGTTTGAGTTTACTATCCACGAACATATACACTAATACCTGAGCGCCGCCTGGAGGTACATCTACTGATACCAGCAACATCAGGCTCAGCACGGAAACAATTATTGCCCAAACGAAGACAACAACTCCTACAAATACAATACAATTTGCATTTTCATACATCCTCATCCTCATCACCAGACAGCCATACAGACAAAATGAAATATACATATGTCAGAACATCCGTCTCCAGGACGAAAGGTCAACCAGGGCACGTGGTGCTGTTTCACCCCGCCGTGTCTACATCCGGGGTGTTCATGTTCAAGGCCGCTCGTTGCACCTTGTAGACGGTGATTGGTGGAAGGACCATGTTGTTGTTCCATATCCTCATTGGCGGACTAGGGTGCCTATCTGGGAGGGAGGCGTTGTGGTCCGGCAGGGTGAAGACGAGGCCGAGTTGGGAGACAGAATACGTCGCTGCGAACAGAGGGAATGACATGGATTGAGTGAACGTTGTGTCGCTTTTAGCAATGTTCGAGCAATATCACAGCTTGTGACATCAGTAATGGGGTTCACAAATTGTACCCCTGTAGGGAGTCGAACCAGGACCTTTGACATGACGAGCGAACGCTCTAACCACAAAGCTATCCCACAATCCCAGCATTATTCCAGTCCGTTTGGCTCCAAATGAGAAAGGGGCACATTATTATTATTATTATTATTATTATTAGTAGTAGTAGTAGTAGAAGTGGTGGTAGTAGAAGTAGTTGTAGTAGTAGTAGTAGTAGAAGTAGTAGTATTGGTGGTGGTAGTAGTAGTAGGAGTAGAAGTAGTAGTAGTAGTTGTAGTAGTGGTAGTGGTGGTAGTAGAAGTAGTAGTTGTAGTAGTAGTAGTAGTGGTGGTAGTAGTAGTAGTAGTAGTAGTAGTAGTGGTAGTAGAAGTTGTTGTAGTAGTAGTAGTATCTGCTGACCAGTTAAACCATTGTTTTTAACCTTTAGAATTAACCAGGCATTCTGAACGTGCAATTTAACAAGTAAAACTATTTACGCAAAATCATAGAGAAACTTTATACAGAGGGACACAATGTGTATGAGCGACTTTAACTCCATACAGTGAACCCCCGTTAGTCCGGACGGTACCGTTCCCAGTGGTTGCGCTGGGACAAACGTATCCTGGAATTAGGTAATGTCTCATATACACTGCCGGACAAACGAAAGTATACACTTGAAATTGGATTTACCCAAAAATTAGAAACGTTATCAAAACGTCACTGGGTTGTAAACAGTCAACGAAACACTGCAAATATGAGCTAAAGAATCCGACATGATTCCCGTGTAGGTATCACCTGCGAATAACCATTTCGTGTTTGTCTTTTGCCACCAAACAGCTGTATACTTTCTTTTGCCCGGCAGTATATATAAGTCGTTCCCAACAGGTGTGTAGTCGACATTAAGGAGTCCAGATTAACAGTGTCCTGACTAACGGGGCTGGGCTGTTTGGGACTCACGGTTGGTAGACTTCTTCGACTTCTTCTTCCCGTTGGTAAGGACAACCTGTCGCTTCTGGAAGAGGTACGGCTGATGCACGAATCCTTGCGAGGCTGTCTCCTCCGTGTAGAAGAACACTCGATTCCTTGGTTGGCACTCGTAGTGAATGACCTTCGCTTTGGGGATGAACTTCTTGATCAGCTGATCCCTCGTCTCCGTGTCGTATTCGGAGTCCGGCGTCCCATGCCGAATCGGGGAGGGCGTGGCCCCGGGTGAGGCCAGTATGGCCATGACTGACGCTGGCGGAGGGGGTGGCGGAGGGGGTGGCGTCTTCACTTCTAGCTTGTCCTTGAGGACCGCCTGTTTGCATACAGCCATCACCTTGGACTGGGCGTCAGCGATGTCCTTTATGGTGGCCCGCCGTGTGCGGTATCTGATCATGAAATGAAGGTCAGTGAGTGAATGGGGTTTTACGCCGCTTTGAAATGTATACTAGTATCTGTTATACCATGGTGTCAGCTTACAAAACCCGGATCTAACAGGTTATATACCTTCACCATTTTGTTTTGTTTGTTTGTTTGTTTGTTTGTTTAACGCCGCACTGGTGTTAAGACATCACATAAAACAAAGTAATATCTATTTGGCAACGAACTGTTCTATTTTCTCTTGTAGCAGGGGGGGCACGGGTGGCCCAGTCGTCTAAGGCGCCTCGATTCGCTGTGCAGAGTTGCGTCCCTTGGGCACGCCAGAAACCTATGATGGTGGGTTCGAATCCCGGTTCGCCCCGATTATGTTTCTAGTTTTGACAGCACCATACCCGTGCTCGTGGGTTTCACCGAAGTGATAAACGTCTGAGACCTGCATCACTTCGGGCTTTCCTCCCTGATTAAGCTGACACGCCGCGATATAACTGGAATACTGTTAAAAGCGGCGTTAAACCCAACTCACTCACTCACTCACTCACTCACACGTAGCAGTGTTTGACGCCCGGTATGTATTCTGGGGAGTATTGGCTAGATATTTCTTTGTTTTATGTGATCTCTTAACACGCGTATGGCAAACATCACCTCTTGGGAGACATTACACCAAGTTAAGTACCTCGTGGGGATTTCTGGTTTGAGTGAATAAGATTTGGGTAAAACGCCGCTTTTAACAGTATTCCAGTTATATCACGGCGTATCAGCTTGCTGTGGGAGGAAAGCCCGGAGTGATGTAGGTCTCAGACATTTACCACTTCGGTGAAACCCACGAGCACAGGTATGGTGCTGACAAACCTCGAAACATAATCAGGGCGAACTGGGATTCGAACCCACAATCAGAGGTGTCTGGCGTGGAAATGGGACGCAACCCTGCACAGCGAATCGCAGGATTTGTCTGGTCCAGACTCGATTGTGTCAACGCCGCCGTGATACAGATGGAGCGTTGCTTAGTGCGGCGTTAAACAACAAACAAACAAACAAACAAACATCGATCGATCTTAACCGGCAGCGAAAGCATAGATATGTACTGCTCACTTTTTCTGTCAGATTTTCTAGTGACAGACCAGCACCTCACATCTGAGGTGTTAACGTACACCTCGCATCTGAGGTGTTAACGTAAACCTCGCATGTGAGGTGTTAATGTACACCTCGAACTCGCTAAGCCGTATAATACTGCAATACTCACATCCTGCATTGTATCATGGCGTTCGGTGGTGAAAGTGAAAGGGTTTGTTTAATGGACTTCCCGAGTTGATAACTCTGAAACGGTTTGAACTCGGACCCTGGGGGTAAACACACGTGACAGACAACAAAGCACTTTGACACTGATAGGGGGGTGAAAATCTACCCGCATTCCTGTTCCTCCGTGCGTGACAAGAGATAAGTTTAACGTTGAAAAACCGTCAGGTTAATGATATCAGTTCTTGGAAAGCATGTAACCAAAACAAGCGATGAGGGGTTTCCGGACTCTTGAACGCATATAGTACCCTCCTGTCTCAATTTACTTAAACCATCGATATATCTTCAGTGATATACTGATTCAGGAAGAACAGGTGAGGTGAAGTGAAATGGGGTTTAACGTCGCGTCAAAGATTATTGCACTTATATAGCGACGTGCATGTACGTGTGTTTGTTTGTGTGGCTGCTTGTACTATTCCGGACTAATGCCGATTTATAGTGCTAGCTCACCATGCCGCAGTTTAACATGAATACCCCACTCAGACACAGTATACTGACTCCGAGCCGACCAGTCCTTGTTTTAGCCCCTCAATGCCGAGCGCCAGACAGGGTAACAACAAGTACCATCTTTTAACGTCTTTTGGTATGAAGCGGCCGGGGATCGAACACCGGACCTTCCGCTCTCCGGGCGGACACTCTACCACCAGACCACGGAGGCGGTCTCAGGAAGAACTGATTTACATGTCTACGTTTAACCGTGAGTTATCGATTTCATTGATTTACGGTTGTTTTGATAGACAGTCGCCGTGAGGTAGATACCACCGGCACGTAATATTAGTGTGTAAGTTATTTTAAATCCTTGTGATAATTCGAACAATAAAAACGTGTTCTTTGTTTGACTTGTTTACTTGTTTACCTGCGCATTGAGTCAGTAAATCTTAGCCTCCAGAAGGGAAACGACCCCTTCGTGGTCTAGTAGATAAAGGTCTGCACGAAGGTCGGTAGTTCGATCCCCGGGGGCGTCATACAAAAATACGTTAATAGATGGTACTTGTTGTTACCCTGTCTGGCGCTCGGCATTAAGAAGCTAAAACAAGGACTGGTTGGTTTGGAGTCTACTGTGTCTGAGATGGTGTCCATGTTAAACTGCGACATTGTATCTCAGCGAGCTAAGATTATAAAAGACCATTAATCCGGAATAGTACAAGCAGCCACACGCAAGTACGTGCAGGTCGCTATATAAGTGCAAGTTGAACGCGAAGTTAATACCCATTTGACCTCATCACATTTTAGGGACACTTCTGTATAAAAGAGGTGAGTGACCGACTGATCTGTTCTAATCGGGATTGTTGTTTTATAAATATTTCATAATCGATCCGCTAGATAAATTTTACGTCCTGTGTTAAAAGGGAAAACTGAGAAATGTACACAGTGTGACTGTTTAAGCTCTTACGACTTATATCCATTAGACTAATACTGATACTGACTCCTCATGTACTCCAGAAAGATCACCCGCGCTAAACACCTCGAAATCCACGCCGACTCGCCGCTGCAACAATGCTGATGCGTTATTAAGCAATACTCTCTCTCTCTCTCTCTCTCTCTCTCTCTCTCTCTCTCTCTCTCTCTCTCTCTCTATCACACACACACACACAAACACACACACACACACAGACACACAGACACACAGAGAGACCCACACAGACAGGCACACATTCACATGACTGACTGAGTATGGTTTAACGTCGCTTTTAGCAATATTCGTCGCATGAACGTTAGGAAAAGGGCGTGAAATATCTGTTGCTGGCGTACGGGTTCTTGAAAAAGGCGTTCTTGAAAACAGTGTGATTTATCTAATGGTACATTCACTTGGCTACAGATACAGAGGTTGCGTGTTCCATCAGAGGGAATATATAGAAAACATTTGTCATTTGATTTTACATTTCATTGTGTTTAACTGCAAAATATATTTCTTGCGAGAAAGATTCATATATTAGAATATAAACGGAAGTTTTATTAAATAGTGAGTGAGCGACTGTGGTTTTACGACGCTTTTAGCAATATTCCAGCAATATCACTGCAGGGGACACCAGAAATGGGCTTCACACATTGTACCCATGTCGGGAATCGAACCCGGGTCTTCGGCGTGACGAGCGAACGCTTTAACCACTAGGCTACCCGACCGCCCCCACTCACATGAACTCATATAGACACACACAGACACACACGCCCCACCTGTAGCAGAGTTTACAGTCCATCCAGCGTCCTGTGCAGTGTCGTCGACGGAGGTCCCTTTTAAACTGCTGCACCTGGCAGGGGACACAGTCATCCCCGGGGTCACACTCGGGGGGCTCCACGCGGAGGAAGTCGGGTTTCTGACAGCGCCGCCTCTTCTGTCGGTCAACTTCCAAATCGCACGCCGACAGGAAGTCTTGCACTTTAACCTGCAGAAACACCACAACACCACAGTGACTTGTGCATCTAAGACAGTGAATCATGCTCGATCGTGTATCGGGAAGTTTCAGGAGGGGACAGTTTCTTGAAGCCTGGCTGTACCTATATATGAGCGACAAGATGATGATTCGAGGCCGTTTCGACCTGACTTGTGTCTGACTAACTTGCCAAGTGCGGATTTAACAGTCACCTATTTTAAAGAAACCCATCCTGCCAGATGCCACCACTACTCCGGATTAAAGGACGGAGACAGGCCTGTTTCAAGACGTTCGACATTGACAAAGTTCTGGACATTCGTGAGTGCACTTTAATTATAAGGCCACTATTCGTTGTTGCTGCCACTTCTTCATCTTCCCAAAGCAAGGGAGTTAACTGACTGTAAAAGTCCAGTTTCCACCCTTGCCGAACTAGGCTGGAATTACTGGGCTCGATCGTAGCGCCACCAGTGGCTATTACCAGTTATGTCCCTTCTTAGCCTCTCCTATGGACCAATCAGATTCCACCTCTCGTATCACTTGCGTTTGTTTTCACACAAAATGGTGGCGCCGAGTCAGGATGATCTGATCGATAATCAAGATCTATATTGCGATAAAACGGGTCTTACATCGCGAAATGCATCAAATCACGTGAGCAAGACTTGAAAACATGAAAAGACTTGGAAAATATCTGCTGACAATGAGTTGGCGGTGCACATGCTTTGCAAATCCTGCAATCGACCGAAATCTGCACGAACCGGATTTCGATTTCGGTGCGCGATTTTGATTGGACTATGCACAGACTCGTTAGTCCAGCCAAAATGTAACTCCATAATACCAGCCTAGTTCGGCAAGGGTGGAAACTGGGCTTTTATAGTCAGTTAACTCTCTTGCCTCGGGAAGATGCCACTTCTTTGACACATGGTATTACTCTTTGCCTTTACACCTTTCAACAGTATTCCAGTTATATCACGGCGTGTCAGCTTAATGTGGGAGGAAAGCCCGAAGTGATACAGGTCTCAGACGTTTACCAAATGATCGGGGCGACCCGGGATTCGAACCCACAATCATAGGTTTCTTGTATGGCCAAGGGACGCAACTCTGCACAGCGAATTGCGGCGCCTCAGACGACTTGGCCCCCGTTTTACCAACAAAAAGTATCGAATTCTAACAGACCGTTGCTTCCCCATGTATTACTTCCCCCTGCGATTAGTGTGTTTCGTCTAACACCGCTTGAACAGGACTTCGGTTATATCGTCGTGTCTGTTATATGTGGGAGGAAAGCCCGGAGTGGAGGTCAAAGGCGACAACCACGAGCAAGAGCCGTGGTTAACAAACCAAAATTCGTAATCAGGGCGAATCATCGGGTTCTGGTATGACCACTCTGCACTAGCTGGATGAGGTTCTGGGGTTGTATTCTGATGTTTACGTACCTGGGCGATCTTCTCGGGATGTTTGCGGACTGAGTTGGAGTATGTAAAATATGACTTGGCTGGTGTCTCACTCTCAGGAAAATCAACGTCGCCAAAATGATCCTGGGTATGTTGCTGTACCCTGAAACGTATTTCAGTGATGCAATATTATCAAATGATGATGATGATGGTTATGTTGATGATGATGATGATGATGATGATGGTGGTGTTGTTGATGATGATGATGATATTAATAATAATGATGGTTATGTTGATGATGATGATGATGATGATGATGATGACGACGATGACTGATGATGAGAAGACGAAAAGGAAAAACCAAATCCACACACTAGTGCATGCTCAAAGCGATACCATTATTACCCCCAACAATGGACAAATACGCTCTCGAATGACATTCTCACACCCGGGGAGTATACAACGCGAGTTGCCTATGAGGGTTCATGATGCCGTTCCACAAAGCGATCTGAGCGCTAGTACTTTCGTAAGTCTATGTTAAAGTCAGGGCTGTCGGGTAGCCTAGTGGTTAAAGCGTTCGCTCGACACGCTGAAGACCCGGGTTCGATTCCCGACATGGGTAAAATGTGTGAAGCCCACGGTGTCCCCCGCCGTGATATTACTGGAATATTGCTAAAAGCGGCGTAAAACCATACTAACTCACTCACTCGCTCACTATGTTAAAGTATGGGAGGTGCGATCGTCTTGGCGCTACTACTGTCGTAAGTCAATATTAAAGTTTGCGAGTTGCGATCGTCTTAGCGCTACTACTGTCGTAAGTCTATGTTAAAGTATGGGAGTTGCGATCGTCTTAGCGCTACTACTACTGTCGTACGTCTATGTTAAAGTATGAGAGTTGCGATCGTCTTAACGCTACTACAGTCGTAAGTCTATGTTAAAGTATGGGAGTTGCGATCGTCTTAGCGCTACTACTGTCGTAAGTCTATGTTAAAGTATGGGAGTTGCGATCGTCTTAGCGCTACTACAGTCGTAAGTGTATGTTAAAGTTTGAGAGGTGCGATCGTCTTAGCACTACTACTGTCGTAAGTCTTTGTTAAAAGTATGGGAGTTGCGATCGTCTTAGCGCTAAAATACGTTTGTGGAGCGGGACCCAGGACCCGAGTGACCCCAGTTCCGGGGCCGCCCGAAGAGTGGAGCAGCATTAACTCACGCTGCACTCTGTCCAACAGGACGAAAAGGATGAAATGTTGAACACATGGAAGTCTCGTCCTTCGTGAACGGTGCATTTGTCGTATACTTTCCACTTTAATAGCCAGCATTAACTATTTATCTATGCAAACTGCAAGTGCGAATATAGGAAACAAATAAAACTGATTTAGTGTCATGTTTCTTTCCCCGTGGATTGAAAACGGAGGTCATCACATCGAGACACACTTTCATTCATTCTTCATACAGGAAGCTTTCGGGAAGCAGTGATGAGAACGCTATTTACTGTCTCATTTAATACACTAAAGTCGGTATCACGCAATTCCTCTCCGATGGCATTTGTAAACCTATATACAGACCAGACTTGATATATCCTTGGAAGAGGCGACTTGTAGTAACAGGGTTTTATTATATCCCGTTATATGGCTTTTTAAAAACCGAAGCTTTCATAGCTCAACTCTGATAACGATTAAGCATCATGTTTGTTTGCACACATCTAGCGTTTCCCATCAGCTTAGGTATTAAACGTGAAAGCTATATTTCAAATACATGTTTACTGAAAATGAAAACAGTAAATCCTAACTGTAAAAGATAGAGTACTGTATGGAGTTTCCATTGTAGACATTAAGACCCTCGTAAGAATTTATGCTGTACACACTATTGTGTAAGTCTAGGAGCAATCATGTCGGGGGGGTCGTGTACAGCTGCAATAGCAGAGATGTTTTTATATAATACCACTGTGAGCCACAATTTTATTTATAAAAATACATGTTGCAACATTGTATTTTTGTGTGGCAGGCAACTACTTTTTTTCAACAGTTTGAAGCAGAATTCTTCTTTCTTCTTTTAAAGAATCACCAGGGACACACACACACACCCCTACCCCTACCCCACCCCCCAATATCCATAAAGCGATACCAGAAGGTGGATGATACAAAAAGTGACGATAAAATAATTTGTTCCTGAAAATACTGTGGGGAAAAAATAATTTTGCTTCATGTTTAACACGAAACAACTTTCCTTTTTGAAGCAGAAACCGAAATAAATAAAACACCTAGCTACTGATGTACAGAACTGAGAATACTGTTTTTCAAAAAGAGATAACGAAAACCATCGGATATATGAGCATACCTTATGATACAGTTATACGGCTTATACATACATTTCATCCTATGGATGTAATTTATCTTGCAATATACGAGACTCAGTACATCTCTGTACCACATGTTTACAAAGGTAATATCATTAAGTGCTTTTACTATATACATTTTGAAGGTAAGAAATATATACATCTGATGGAGTATTTGCTCTGACATGTTGAAATATTTGGCCATTCATGATATTGGTTTATATGGGTTTATATATGGGTTTATACAGTATGAATTTAAAGTTTATCAGCAGTTTATATAGTGATGATAATCGTATTTAAAAATGAATTACCGTTCGAGAAACTGCTGTTCCAGGGGTTTCCCGTCCTCAGCCTGGTTAGCAAACTGTACCCGACGTCTGTTGGCGTTGTCCCGGGGTGTGCCGGGTACCCCAGTCAGTCCACAGTCCTGGTAAACATCGCTCACCTCAAGTGTGGACGGGGGCAGATAACCCAGCTTCCTTACACCCATACATTCAGTTCTACATCTATTGATGGAAACACACACAGAGAAGATGATGTACGCGCTCCCTGCCTGCTCTGTGATGAGGTCAGATGTGATTATGACGTCATGAGGCAGTAAACGTCTGTGACGTCATGATTATTATCAAAGCGGGGCTTCACGGCTCGTTTCGCATTCGTCACCACTCGCCCCTTTCCGTAACCTGTAACACGAGTTAGTCCATTCGTCACCACTCGGCCCTTTCCGTAACCTGAAAGAAGACTCGTCCCCCTCTCGATGAATGTTATGTGCGAAAATACGACAAACCAATCAGAATGCGCGTATGGCTTCAAGTACATCGGTCAAAGAATCCCTCAGCTATAATTTTTGATTTTACATACGTCTTGTATCTAAAAATAAACCCAAGATACAGATACATTTGTTCAATCATATTTTATATTAATTTAAGTCCGATGTGTTTTAAATATTATCTGGAATATATAACATATAGGGGAAAAAATATGTGTGAATCATTACGCAAAATGGCCGCTGAATTTGAAACAGCGTTGGCGTATGCCAAAGACAATATTGACATCAGTTTTAAATTAAAGGACAAGCAAGAAGAAACTTTAAAAACAGTGTTCGCAGGACGTGACTGCATAGCTGTGTTGCCAACAGGATATGGGAAAAGTCTCATTTTTCAACTTTTGCCTTTTCTTCTCCAGAGAGATCGGCCAGCTCCAGGAATTGTCATCGTCGTCAGCCCCCTGAATTCACTCATGCAGGACCAAGTCATCTCACTATGTGAGAAAGGAGTCAAAGCTTGTCCCGGAATAACACGAGTTGGTCACGAATGGAGTTAGTCACGAATGCTCCTTTCAATCATATTCCATTCATGACCAGCTCGTCGGGTCAAGCCGAATAGCGACCCGTGCCCCTCTCGTAAACATTTTTGAGACTGGGTTCGTCTACGCGCAAACGGGCACAACTAAAAGAATTGTAAACTCGTTGCGTAATGACTGACGTATATTTCCCCCATATATCAAAATATATTCAAGATGCAGGTTACGGAAAGGGGCGAGTGGTGACGAATGGATCATGACCACTCGGGCCATTCCGGTCGAAGGCGAATGACTTCTTACAGGTTACGGAAAGGGGCGAGCGGTTACGAATATGTCCCATAGGTCATGCTATTGAGTAGGCATTAGGTAAGTGATGTGGAACTGTTATATTAACTTAGATTCGTCTTTTAAATAATCGGTGATCTCAAATTACCTGCCCTTGGTTTTCATAAACCAATTTGATTTGCTTCGCCACTCAGTCTAACGGACCAATCAGAATGCGAGTTACAAAACAGCTCTATAAAAAATACATCGGCCAGTCCCATTGGTTATGATAGAGTTTGCGAGAAATTCAGTATTGAAACACTGCCTGACACGCAAAAGAAAGCCTTCAAAATTCTTTTTGTTGGAAATGATGTCTTCATGTCCACTTCCATTACCCATTTCCTCACTCTCCTACCCAGAGTTCCATGCGGCCGGCAGCCAGCTAGCATAGTACCTCTGCCACAGGCCAGCGCCATGTGACGATTCGTCACATCTTTACAGTCCATTTAAGATATTGCATATGCTTTTCATCCGTTTCATGTTTGACAAGTCTACACATTTTCATAAACAAATGTCAAAGAATGGTTAACTTTCATTGAGAAAGTATGCAAATACGTAAAAATCTACTTGTTTTTGCGTAGTTATCCTATGTTTACATAGGTTGTACGGCTCCACGTGCTGTCATCGAAGCCCAACGGAGAGCTAGCGACACGGTCACTTTGATGCATAAATATATATTGTCATGCAACTCACTGTCGCAGTTGTAGTAGCATATCTATATATGCAAAGCGCCCCCAACTACTTGCATTAGTCCGTTCTATACTGATTTCTGAAAAAGCGCGTTTGTTTATAAACAAGAGAAAAGTCCGGTCACGTGATATGCAAATTAGCCTGTGGCAGTGGTGTTATGCTGAGTCACCACTGCGACGGAGTGTGCCATTTCCTGTGTCCTTATCTCGACGTTGATTGGTCGGTAAAATGTTAATGAAAATCAAGGGCAGGTAATTTGAGACTGCAAGGACCACGTGAATGGATCCAGGTGTTAGTGTAGGTTTGTCTTAATGCGAGCCCTGGGTGGGCTGAGAGGGGCATTACAGTTCTTTAAAAAATATGTCCGGGGGAACAAACGACGAAAGAAAGTTAGAAGTCTTGGGTTCGCCGTGTTTTATATGATGGCAGCTCTGCTATATCCTTATTTAAAAAATCACAAATCTGCTTTCGCCTGACAAGCCCCCAATTGTTAGTGAATGAATATGGTTTTACGCCGCTTTGAGCAATACTCCAGCAATATCACGGCGGGTGACACCAGAAATGGGCTTCACACATTGTACCCGTGTGGGGAATCGAACCCAGGTCTTCGGCGTGACGAGCGAACGCTTCAACCACTTGGCTATTCCACCGCCCTAGTCCTCATAGGGATGGTGGGGGTGGGCTATACGCGAAGCGGGTGGGTCGGTGGGGGTAGGGGCAAGAATATAAGGTCCAGTACCAGTACCAGTAGTAGGACCTCGGTAACTGAAAGTTCTCGAGTTATCCGTTGTTCCAGAATATCAACATATTTATATTTCGTATAAGCACCCCGTACATCGATGCATTGCACCGTGCCCTCATGTGAGTCAGTGGGTGAGTGAGTTGGGTTTAACGCCGCTTTTAACAGACTGGTATTCCAGTTATATCACGGCGTGTAAGCTTAATGTGGGAGGAAAGCGCCCCAAGTGATGCAGGTCTCAGACGTTTACCACTTCGGTGAAACCCACGAGCACTGGTATGGTGCTGACAAAACTAGAAACATAATCGGGGCGAACCGGGATTCGAACCCACAATCATGGTTTCTGGCTTGCCCAAGGGACGCAACTCTGCACAGCGGCGCCTTAGACGACTGGGCCACCCGTGCCCACATGTATGTATCACGATGTTAATACGCATCGATGAATGGTTTTACCCCTATAATCGCGTGTCATCGTAACCTGTAACATGAATAGAGCTTCGCGATATCAACTACTGGTTTGTTTGTCACAGAGTTAATTATTCACAGGGTGCGGTCGCCGTGATTCGCTGTGCAGAGTTGCGTTCCTTGGACACGCCAGAAACCGATCATTGTGGGTTCGAATCCCGGTTCGCCCCGATTATGTTTCTAGGTTTGTCAGCACCATACCCGAGCTCGTGGGTTTTACCAAAGTGGTAAACGTCTGAGACATGCATTACTTCGGGCTTTCCTCCCACATTAAGCTGACACGCCGTGATATAACTGTAATACTGTTAAAAGCGGCGTTAAACCCAACTCACTCACTCACTCACAGGGGGCGGTAATTTTATTGTAATAGTATTAAATTTTAAGTTTTTTTTAAATGTATGATACTCTGACCAGGAAGGGTGCATAACGATCAACCCACCCACCTTTCTATTAAGCATACTACGTGGTCGCACAGCACACAGGTCACAAAGAAGGGAAAGTTAAGCAACGTCGGCAGCTTGGCTCCTGAGAGTTTCTAGGGCTTCCTTCCCGCCCCACACTGAAGCACCTGTGGTGTCTCCTTGGGCAAGTAACTTTGTTTGAAATATCTGTTCGCCGAATGGTTAAAATGGTTAAAGCGAAGACCCGGGTTCGATTCCCGATATGGGTACACAGTGTGAAGCCCATTCCTAGTGTCACCCGCAGTGACATTGCTGGAATATTGCTAGAAGTGGCGTAAAACCATACTCACTCACTCGTGTATTTTTTAAGAATGACATCAAACGGAAGGAAAAATATCAAGCCGAGTGTGTTTCTGTACGGTTGATATCATTTATTAGGGACACAAAATATGTTTTTCATTCGCATAAAATAATTGTTCGTAGATCGTCAGATGTAAATAGGCGTAAACAGGTGTGCTGATGAAACCATTTACCATGTATGTGAGAAACAGTGAGTGTTTCTTAAGTATCGAACTCTTGTCGGTAGGTATAAAGAGTCAGTGAGTTGAGTTTAACGTTTAACGCCGCTTTGAACAGTATTTCAGACATATCACGGCGTATCAGTCGGATGTGGGGGGAATCCCGATGTGATGCAAGTCTTTGAGGTTTACCTCTTTAGATTGTGAGAACCACGAAACGAGACACTGGCTGACAGATTATAGACATTGTGCTGACGAATCATGACCCCTGACCAGTGTGAATCCGAGATTCGAACCAACAATCACCGGATTCTTGCACACCTAAGGGACGTAACTCTTGGTCAATTGTATTCTATAAGGTAACAAACGAAATTGAATACAAGTCCACTATACATAATTGTTCCATTTATTTATATTTTTCATATATTTATGGTTTTCGATGTGATATGAAATACTGATCATATATCATTCCCAAACATTTCTTAGGCATTTATAATAAGGGTTGAAGTCGATTCACAATCGTCCATTCATGATCAAAGAACATATTGAAGATCAGTTCGTCTTACGGGGCACAATAAGGGGAGGTCACTCTTGTCACCCTGTCAACACTCGCAACAAACCGCTGCTGTCCATGACAAATCTGGAGAGCGCTCCGACTTTAACAGGACACTCTTGCATTGTTCATGAACGTCTGTTTTGCTCTGTTTTGTGTGTGACGAGCTCTGTCTCTCGGAATGAACGTGAATACTTGAGTTGACACTCCCGTCGCTTCAACTGTTCGGTGTTGCATCATTGGCTCGACACAGCCAAGGGTGCCTCGAGACCTGGGCACTGGTGGGTCGGCTGAGCGGGTCGATGTTGAGAAGGGATTTCACGAGCTCAGCACAATCTGGGGAAAAAAACATCACCCGACGTTAGTGAGGTTTTGTGTTTTTTCTATGATCAGTATCAACAGATTTTAAAATTCAGTGCAGCTATGAGCAGATACATCCTGAAATGAAGTGAGAAAAAAGACATCAGGGGTTGTGCCCCTTTTTCACACACCTCACGTGTTAACTGCGCCCTCGACTCAAGCCTATATATTTAGAACAGTTATATACATCTAACAGAGCTACAGATAAGCAGCGTTACTTTCAATTAACTTGCGTACAGAACGCATGCATTAAATGAAAAACTCACTTGTATAAAAACAGCTCGCGTAAATACCCAATGAAGCTTTATCAGCATGCGTACAAAAGAGCTAACAGAATAACGAGCTAAGTTACCTTCCGAGGCAAGCCTATATTATTAGTTACATGGTCCTGTGGGTCAAGTCACTTCGTGACTTAGAGACTAGTGTTCAGATCCATTTTCCTAAATTCTTGATCCGCATCTGAACTACCGCTATCACAGTTGACATAAATCGCCTCCAGGTGGTGTACGTACCTTGCTGTAGGCTATGTGGGACGACGACAGTCTTGAGTATACACCCATACAGTTGTGTCATGCTCCTCGGCCGGTCCGACACAAACGGAGGCTTCCCAGTCAGCATTTCAAACAACATGACCCCTCTTAAACATAGAAACATTAATAGCTCAAACATATACGTTAATATAATTATATAATGAGTACACAGACATTAAGTGAGTGAGTGCTTGGGATTTGTGAGCAATATTCTAGCTATAAGACAGCGGTCTGTAAATTATCAAGTCTGGACCAGACAATCCAGAGATTGACATCATGAGCATCGATCTACGTAATTGGGATACGATGACATGCATCAACCAAGTCAGCGTACCTGACCACCCGATCCCGTTAGTCGCCCCTTACGACAAGCATGGGTTGCTGAAGACCAATTATAACCCGGAATCTACACGGGTCAAATGAAACCGATAACTGAAACACTGTTCAAAGCGGCGTCAAACCACATTCACTCACTCACTCCCAGTGCGGTATTAAACAACAAACAAAAACAATCTACCATGTGAAGCAAGTAGATGTGGTCTATGTCACCACCCATCATAGTTTTTGTTCTCTGGCATTTAAACTGATGCAATTTCGGTGCTGATGACAAAGCTTACATCTCAAGAAAGCACATGCGTCAAGTTATTCGAAATAAATCGAAATGAATATTTATAGGAAAACTCATCTAAATTTAAGTGCCTGATGTACAGTTAAAGTTAGCGACACCGCTTTTACTTACAAACTCCATACATCGACTGGCGGCCCATACCGTGCACCCGAGTACACTTCAGGCGCCGTGTAGACTGGCGTCCCACACTGGCGGGTTAGAGGGGACTCCACGCGGAACCGTGTACTCAAACCGAAGTCTGCAAATCCAATTACAAATGTGTACATGTATTAATATATATATATATATATATATATATATATATATATATATATATATATTAAAGGATGCCCCCCACCCCCTTGTATATTTTATGTATGTACTTTGTATAGAGTTAATAACGGCATGCAGTCTGGAAGACGTTGGAATGACTTGAGTACGGTGGGGTAATTTGATCAATAGCTCAGCTCTATCAAGCTGTGAGGTATACTGTATACAACACGCCCTGAACCAACAACACAGCCACAACGCTTACTGCGCTTCAGGGATCATAAGCTTTTTGTTGTTCGTTGTCTAACGCCGCACCCAGCAACTATTACAGCTATATGACGGCGGGCTGTAAGTATTGGAGTCTGGACCAGACAAGCCAGTGATCGACATAATGAGCATCGACCTAGGCAATTGGGTTACGATGACTTGCATCAACTAATTCAGCGAGCCTGACCACCCGATCCCGTTAGTCGCCTCTTACGACAAGCATAGGCCAAGGATGCTGAAGACCTATTCTACCCCGGATCTACGGGTTGAGATCACTAGCAATTTACAGGTATCAGGCATAGCATTAAATTGAACAACTGTAATAATAATAATAATGATGATGATGATGATGATGATGATGATGATGTAATAATAATAATAAAACAACTAAAAAACAAAACAATAGCGCCTACATTCCATCATAACGGACGGTACTCCTGTCCAAGTATTAACGCTGGTCAACAGCTTTTGCGGCCAACCGATCTCCATTTAAGTAATCTCGTACTCAAACAAGGTGTCAGTATCTATCCTCCAGATCAGGCGAGTATCAGTGCGAGGTGCTGTGGCTACGACTTACCTATGAGTGTGATGTGCATATTTTCTTTGCGGACTAATATGTTGGCCGGTTTGATGTCTCTGGAAACAAATATGCAACTGCACGAGTGATGTGTAAGATTATTATGTCAGCCTGATACAGTTGAATCTGTCATCCCCAGGAACCGGTACCAATTTACAGTCCCGAGGGGTGAGGGTGGGTGTCAGGGTAAAAATAGGATGAGGGTCAGGGTCAGGGTCAGGGTAAAGGTGAGTGTCAGGTTAAATATAGGATGAGGGTCAGGGTCAGGGTCAGGGTGAGGATGAGGGTCAGGGTCAGAGTGAGCGTCAGGCTAAGGGGTAAGGGTGAGGGTGAGTGTCAGGGTAAATATAGGGTCAGGGTCAGGGTCAGGGTGAGCGTAAGGGTAAGGGATGAGGGTGGGGGTGAGTGTCAGGGTAAATATAGGATGAGGGTCAGGGTCAGGGTGATTGTAAGGGTGAGGTGAGCGTGGGGGTGAGGTGAACTTTGAAATAACAGATACTTGTACATATGACATATTGCATTGTAGTAATCATTTGGAAGCTGACCAAGAGCACACATATACCAGCCATCTATATATATACATATATCATATGATATATATGATACCTACCGGTGAACGACGTCGTTGTGATGTAGGTGAGTGACAGCTGACGCCAGCTGCGTCATCGTCGTCCTCGCGTCGTCGTCACAGAGAGGGCCCCTGTAGCAATATCAAACGACAAAATAATACATCGTGTGCTACTGTAAATTTTAGACTGAGTGAGTTAGGTTTGTTTATCGAAATGCAGCCCTTAGGCGATTGTGCTACCTCTGCCCCCTAACTGTTATATACTCATATCTGTTTGATAATATTTATAATCCATCACAAAATAATTAGAAATACACTTTTATTACGCACATGCAAACGCACAAATAACGATACCTATATAGATTAGCTTACATAACATGTGCTTATTGTGCTCCACGTATGGACAAAATGCAATAAAGCACTGTAATCCTATTGTGCACATTCTATAAGTCATCGCATAGACAACGTTTTTAATTAAATAACTGTAATAAAAATGTATAACCTGCAGTCGTGAACTCGGTTCAATGAAACCGGTGACCTCAGCACGTGGGTTTCACAACGGTGCGAAATCTGCACGTGCGTCTCGCAATGGCACGAAATCTGCACGTGCGTCTCGTAGGCTGTTCGTCGTTTTTGTTCTATCAAGGGTTTACAATGATTGTAAGCCCTCCTGCGATGTGTTACCACAATTTCAAAAACTCCATATCGAGTTACACAAACAGCCAGTAGGTTTATAATACTAAGGTTTGTATATTAATCATCAGTGTTTAAATCGTTTGCAAGACCTTGGCAAATGTAGATGCCAAGAACAATTCGCTATGTCATTAGGGTCAATATTTTCATATTGTGTGAGAGGGGAGGGGGAGGGTGAGGGGGAGGGGGAGGGGTTGACTGTGTTGTTTGGCTACTTCTAAAACATGTGTAGTATAGTTTTGAAGCTGCGTAACATATACTCCAGGAGATGTTCCAGCAATTAACTTGCACGTTTCTAGTCTTAACATGTGTGTGGGGCGGTGGGGTAGAGCCTAGTGGTTAAAGCATTCGCTCGTCACGCTGAAGACCCGGGTTCGATTTTCCACATGGGTACAATGTGTGGAGCCCATTTCTGGTGTTCCCCGCCGTCATATTGCTGGAATATTGCTAAAAGCGGCGTAAAACCATACTCACTCACTCACTCACTCACTCGTGGCAAGTGTGAGGCAAGTACCTGTGTCTCAGCACCTTTGCCAGTGTTGGGCCATCCACCAGTTCCAGGACGAGATACATGTGCCTCGTTGTCTCCATCGTCTCATACAGCACCACGACGTTCGGGTGACGGAGACAGCGTAGGCTGTCCACCTCGCGGCGGAAACACTGTCTCTGGGTATCTCCTTTGCTGGAACGGTACTTGAGGAAGGATTTCACAGCCACCTGAAACAACGACAGCCATACACATCTACTTGGGTAATTTGTAACTTCAGTGCGTGTGGGGTGGGGGTGGAGGGGGAGGGGTGTTGAGTTGGGCTCACCCCAAAAAACAAATACTATCAACTATCATGTTGATCATGGTATTCGTCACTGGTGGGCCTTGTAAGATTCAAGCAGGAGAGCCTCCGTGGTCTAGTGGTAGAGCGTCCGCCCGAAGAGCGGAAGGTCCAGATTCGATCCCCGGCCGCGTCATACCAAAAGACGGTAAAATATGGTACTTGTTCTTACCCTGTCTGGCGCTCGGCATTAAGGGGCCTAAACAAAGACTGGTCGGCTTGGAGTCAGTATACTGTGTCTGACTGTATTCATCTTAAACTGAGGAGCTGAGAATGATTGTTGAGGGCACACTGATCCGTTAAACGGGGTAATAATAGCGCTTTGAGAAGCTTTGTGGGGTGTGGAAATATGCACAATAGAAATAGCCTATTATTGTTGTTGTTGTTATTATTATTATTATTTTATTAACATCTATTTATTGTGTTTAGATTGTCTTATTACGTTTGTTCGTCAGTTACTACAGGGAGTGACCTTACGTTTTATATATCGTTTATTTTAGGGGCGGTCGGGTAGCCTAGTTAAAGTGTTTAAAGCGTTCGCTCGTCACGCCGAAGACCCGGGTTCCATTCCCGACATGGGTACAATGTGTGAAGTCCATTTCTGGTGTCCCCCGCCGTGATATTGCTGGAATATTGCTAAAAGCGGCGTAAAACCACACTCACTCACTCACTCTCACTCATCTTAAACTGCGTCATGGTATCTCAGTGGGCTAGCGCTATAAATCGGCATCAGTCCGGACTAGTACAAGTAGCCACACACACACACACACACACACACAGACACACACGCACACGCACACGCACGCATGCACGTCGCTATATATAAGTGCAGTAATCTTGGACGCGACGTTCAACCCCATCTCACCTCACCTCACCTATTGCAGGGGGTACTGCATAAAACAACAAACGATGAAATATTCGAGAAAAAAAGCTCTTGTTAAAACAGGGGTTCGTTGACACAATTATAACGTTTCGCATTAATCTCTCACTAATCAGAAATCACCTTCCATTACCTCGTCACAGCAATGAACTACATCAATAGTGTATGAAAGGTATACCGTTACATGTCGAGCCTCTGTATATCACAGCGTGGACGGTTGCGTGATGTAATGCATCCCTTGACACCAGTGTGAATACCGGCCATTCATTGCACCGGTGATTAGTTGAGTCCAGTCCCGTCCCATCGCGTGACCAAGGTAATACGTCAGGCACAGTGACTATGTAATATTTATCTATGTAACAATGACCCTGTCTTGGTTCCTGAAAATTCCCGGGGGTATAAGTAATATAATACTGACCATCATATACCAGTGAGTGAGTTTGGTTTAACGCCGCTTTTAACAGTATTCCAGTTATATCACGGCGTGTCAGCTTAATGTGGGAGGAAAGCCCGAAGTGATGCAGGTCTCAGACGTTTACCACTTCGGTGAAACCCACGAGCACGGGTATGGTGCTGACAAACCTAGAACATAATCGGGGCGACCCGGGATTCGAACCCACAATCATAGGTTTCTAGCGTGCCCAAGGGACGCAACTCTGCACAGCGAATTGCGGCGCCTTAGACGACTGGGCCACCCGTGCCCCCTCATATACCAGTATTAACTGGGGGGAAAAAATCTGTACCTCTCAATTGACTTCATCTACGTGTGAATTTTTATTGAAACTATCTTCCGAGAGCATTTTTTTATCCACAAAAATGAACTTTACTGGAATTAAGACAGCACTTCTGCGTGGTTCTATTTAAAAAAATATAATTTGATTAAAACTTTAAAATTTAAAATCGCATAATGCATGCTGCTGACGGGTTTCTTAGCCATATTATCTTTGAAAATCAATAAATTTGCTTTCTTCGTCACAAATTTACGTTTCAAACATGGTAGGGGGCATGTGGTTTCAGATTCACTTCTTACCCCAGTCGTGATTTGAACAAGTTTACTTTCACACAAAATTACCAAGCAACAGTTGACATTTTACAAACTGTTGCAGGAGTGAGCGATAGACATAGGAATGGGAGTACAAATAATCAAATTTAACAACAGTTATTTCTGTTCGGATTGGAATCAATGACCAGCGGATCCCACCATGACTAAGGGAGGCAATTCTTAACTGCGAATTCTGCACGGCTGACGTCAACGTGTACATAATTTGCATGTCTGTTCATCATCAGGTAAACGTATACGTCATTATGTGGTTAACTGCCATTGAGAAAATATCATACAAAAAATAAAAAATGTTATGGGTTATGGGTTCGAATCTCAGTTTCACTTGCTTTGTCAGCGCCACACACATGCAATAGTGCTTTTTACTCTTTTACGTGCTTTGGAAAATGGACTAACGGCCCAAAACGCTCACTCACTCGATCATCAAGTCACGTTCACGTTGCTGTACGTTATGATAGCCTTATTTTACACATAAGGGCGAAAAGGGGCGGTCGGGTTGCCTAGTGGGTACAATGTGTGAAACCCGTTGCTGGTGTCCCCCGCCGTGATATTGATGGAATATTGCTTAAAGCGGCGTAAAACCATACTCACTCACTCACTCACTCATAAGTGCGAAAAGGATCGATTGTGATAACTTTGCGATATTTGCGCATATGCTAAGCTCTTTTTAGCAATTCACAATGCTAATTGGTCATTGGCAGCCTTTGGGTGCCACATTGGTTCATTGAACGGATAATAAGTCTTCGATGTTTGCGCACGTTCTAAGCCTTATTAGCGATTCTCAATTCTGATTGGTCATTTGAAGCGATGGGACGCCATATTGGGTCATTGTTTGGGAACAATGCGATATGACGTCATCCATTGTTTATGACGTCACAGAATGATTGCATTACGTCATCAAGAAGTTTCGCTATTGGGTGGACATTTCATACGTTTTCTTTATTTTCTCTCCTGAAGTGGCAGTGAGTAACATATAGAATGACCTACTCGAAACACGAAAATACGGTTTAACCGCCCAGCGCCAAGGCTCAGTACTTATAATCATAATATTCATTCACTTCAATAATCCGTAATATCCTCGTAAATCGGTGATTATTCAAGCATTCTTATTTATATTCCTACTCAAATGTAGAGTAAAATATCCATTCCGCCGGCTAGTCCAAGGATCAATTATTCATATTATATTTCGATAGTGGTAACATGATGACATCATTATTCATGACGTCATCACATTGTGACGTCATGTAACATTACCTTTTCATTCACATCCTGGTGGATAGCTTCTCTGACCGTAGACTGTCGGCCTTCTCCGAGAATCTTCCCCAAAATATATCTTCCCACCTTCTTAGGTGTGTCAGTCGGGACAAAGAGTTCCCCGCACAGAGCTTGTATAGTCGTCATGTCAGAACAAGATACACACTAGATACGGTCTCCTTGATGTACCCAACACCCTGGACTTCACGAACTTACCGTCAGTCTTGGGATAGGAATTTCCTTCTGAAATTCATATTGGTGATTTGGACGCTGAATGACATTTTTGCCCATATATTGGACAGTCTTCTTCAAACCACATCCGAACCATGGTTTCAAACTGATCAGCAGGATCTGCAGTGATGTCTACTGTGTATTGCATCAACCCTTCTCAAGACAGACATGATGTGTTTACCTTTCGTGAATACATTCATTTCTTGTAGTATCTGTTGTGTTTTGTCAACGTCTGTGTTCGTGGAACCTTGATTCACACATATTCTGCCGTCATCAACCGTCATCACCCGTGTTCAGAATATATCTCGCCGTCATCATCCGTGTTCAGAATATATCTCGCACTCGCTATCCGCGTTTAGACCATATTTCAAGTTCTCTATCTGTTTTTAGGATAAATCTCGCATTGACCATCCGTGTTCAGAATAAATCTCGCATTGACCATCCGTGTTCAGTATATATCTCGCATTGACCATCCATGTTCAGATTATATCTCGCATTGCCAATCCGTGTTCAGCATATATCTCGCATTGAAAATCCGTGTTCAGCATACAACTCGCATTGAAAATCCGTGTTCAGCATACATCTCGCATTGAAAATCCGTGTTCAACATATATCTCGCATTGACCATCCGTGTTCAGAATATATCTCGCATTGACCATCCGTGTACAGCATATATCTCGCACTGACCATCCGTGTACAGCATATATCTCGCACTGACCATCCGTGTACAGCATATATCTCGCATTGACCATCCGTGTTCAGAATATATCTCGCACTGACCATCCGTGTTCAGAATATGTCTCGCATTGACCATCCGTGTACAGCATATATCTCGCACTGACCATCCGTGTACAGCATATATCTCGCATTGACCATCCGTGTTCAGAATATATCTCGCATTGACCATCCGTGTACAGCATATATCTCGCATTGACCATCCGTGTACAGCATATATCTCGCATTGACCATCCGTGTTCAGAATATATCTCGTCTTGCATAAAGTGACTAGGCAAAATATAAAGCGTCAGTTTAAAAAGACGATCATTTGGAATGTTACACAGGCCATGTGTCCAAACTGATCACAACTTCAGAAAGAATCCTGATCCTGTCCTCAACCATTCACGGAATGACAGCGGCCTGCCTACACAAAAAACCCGCAGTCAGCCCTACACGCCGAAGCCCTCAACACACGTACCCACAAGCACACTGCGTGCCGTTCAAGCACTCGGTGTAAATCTAGCCATATGGTCCTGTCAGAAACCACATATCTTGATCCATAACCGTCTGATGTTCATATCTCCGCACTATATCACACAGCGATCTGGTCTCCAATATGTCACTACACTAGAGCTCTCAAGTATACAATAAAATGAATCAGGTGTGTTAACGAAGTCCCGATTGGTCGTAACGACAAGCACTCAACGTGAACGCTACTTCTGCGAGAAGGAGTTAAATTCCTGCTTGAAGACAGGTTTAATTTAATCTCCCATGAGTATAATATATACTCACATAGTAGCTACTTGGGATTCGAATCAATATTTAATATATCCCCTAGCCAATCAATCCATGCTTCCGATAAGTATTGCTGCCTTCGGTTAGATTAAATCAATAAAGCTAGGATTATCAAAGCATATTTGGTATGTGTTATATCGTAATACTCCTTTAGGTCCGGTCAGCTCTGGTCCGCATGGCCTGTTAGCCACAGTTATTGTATAGATATAAATGTCACCCCTGTCCCGCTAACACGGTATGGTCACACAAGGAGACCCCATACAAAAACCAATACAAAATCGACAAAGTCTTTATGCCACGGTTGCTTAAATATCCAACACCAATAGCGTACAATGTATACGTAGGCGTACTGGCATACAACGATGTATTAGCCCTACATTGGCGTTTGAAACGGGTATTGTTGCCAACGCCAGCAACAACACAACAACACCAGCACAACAGACACCACTTTGAAAAGACCCTTCCGTGTTGGGGCTTTAGATGTAGCGTTTGGGTTGCAGTATTTGTCGTTCAAGGAAGACAGTGCTTTGTTTATTTATGTATTTATTTATTAGTCCGCACGTGGCATTGTACCTGCTCTATTTTCAGCAGAACCTCTAGAGGCCTGGAGACTTTATGTTGGTGTCATAATGTAGACGCGAGGAAATGTTATATAATGTTATGAAGGCTAGCAAACAAACAAATATCCCGATTAACGAATTTAGGAATTTATAACAACAACAACAACAACACAAAATTGAAACAAGCAAGAAATTAGTATTAAATGGTTATTATTTTGATATGGGGTTTATAGTAACTGTTGTGTTTTTCACACCATCAAACAACCCAAGACACACGTGTCAGATATTGCCCTGCACACCCATCAAACAACCCTAGACACACGTGTCAGATATTGCCCTGCACACCCATCAAACAACCCTAGACACACGTGTCAGATATTCCCCCGCACATCCACCAAACAACCCAAGACACACGTGTCAGATATTCCCCGCACACCCATCAAACAACCCAAGACACACGTGTCAGACATTCCCCCGCACACCCATCAAACAACCCTAGACACACGTGTCAGATATTCCCCCGCACACCCATCAAACAACCCTAGACACACGTGTTAGATCTTCTCCCGCACACCCATCAAACAACCCAAGACACACGTGTCACATCTTCTCCCGCACACCCATCAAACAACCCTAGGCACACGTGTCAGATATTCTCCCGCACACCCATCAAACAACCCAAGACATACGTGTCAGATCTTCTCCTCATACACCCATCAAACAACCCAAGACACACGTGTCAGATATTTCCCCGCACACCATCAAACAACCCTAGACACACGTGTCAGATATTCCCAGCATACCATCAAACAACCCTAGACACACGTGTCACATCTTCTCCCGCACACCCTTGAAACAACCCAAGACACACGTGTCAGACATTCCCCCGCACACCCATCAAACAACCCTAGACACACGTGTCAGATATTCCCCCGCACACCCATCAAACAACCCTAGACACACGTGTTAGATCTTCTCCCGCACACCCATCAAACAACCCAAGACACACGTGTCACATCTTCTCCCGCACACCCATCAAACAACACGAGACATACGTGTCAGATCTTCTCCTCATACACCCATCAAACAACCCAAGGCACACGTGTCAGATATTTCCCCGCACACCCATCAAACAACCCTAGACACACGTGTCAGATATTCCCCGCACACCCATCAAACAACCCAAGACAAACGTGTCAGATATTCCCCCGCACATCATCAAACAACCCTAGACACACGTGTCAGATATTCCCCCGCACACCCATCACACATCCCTAGACATACGTGTCACATCTTCACCCGCACACCCATCAAACAACCCAAGACACACGTGTCAGACATTCCCCCGCACACCCATCAAACAACCCAAGACACACGTGTCACATCTTCTCCCGCACACCCATCAAACAACCCGAGACATACGTGGCACATCTTCTCCTCATACACCCATCAAACAACCCAAGACACACGTGTCACATCTTCTCCCGCATACCATCAAACAACCCTCGACACACGTGTCACATCTTCTCCCGCACACCCATCAAACAACCCAAGACACACGTGTCACATCTTCTCCCGCACAGCAACAACAACAACACTGCCGGTTTGATTGTGGCAAAAATTGAAACAAACAAGAAATTGTTATTAAATGGTTATGATTTTGAAATGGGGTTTATAGTAACTGTTGTGTTTTTCGACCTTACGTTTGCAGCGTTTCTGCGGCTGTTTTCAGCCTAATAACGTTTTGATAACGTTTGTAATGTTCTGGTAAAATCCAATTTTTATGTGGATACTTTCTTTTGCCCGGCAGGGTATATGCGTTATTCCACGCCCAAGGTTATGCTCAAGGCGTTACAGTCTGAACAAAGGTATATACTTTGATATTCTGGGAAAACCTAGACAACAGCAGTTGCTACTTGGGTAGGAGGGTACCAGACAGAATACTTGGCGTCGAGAGTGCCTTGAATATATACACGCTCCGAACTAGGTCGCACAGAAGGTAAGGATCTCTAAACGGTTCGTTCCACTGTTGTGGGGCAAATCTTCTGAACCAATTGATCTTTATATGTTTGTTACTGTTTATACATTGTTACCTGGTACATTAGTAATGTTGCACCTGAGTATTTCATAAAGACGGGAATGAGGTAACCTTTCGTTGGCGAAACGGTGCAACAACGTCTAAGCGTTATGAAAGTGCGTTTGAATACAAAGGTCAAGAGAATCAACTTCACATGGCAGATCATCATACATGGTATGTGTACCCTAGACACACGTGTCACATGTTCCACCGCACACCCATCAAACAACCCTAGACACACGTGTCACATGTTCCACCGCACACCCATCAAACAACCCTAGACACACGTGTCACATGTTCCACCGCACACCCATCAAACAACCCTAGACACACGTGTCACATGTTCCACCGCACACCCATCAAACAACCCTAGACACACGTGTCACATGTTCCACCGCACACCCATCAAACAACCCTAGACACACGTGTCAGATCTTCCCCCGTATACCAATTAAACAACCCTAGACATACGTGCCACATCGCCTCTCGCACACCATCAAACAACCCTTGACATACGTGTCACATCTTCTCCCGCACACCCATCAAACAACCCTTGACAGACGTGTCACATCATCTCCCGCACACCCATCAAACAACCCTAGACATACATGTCACATCTTGTCCTGCACACCCATCAAACAACCCTAGACACACGTGTCAGATATTCCCCCGCACACCAATAACAACCCTAGACATACATGTCAGATCATCTCCCGCACACCCATCAAACAACCCAAGACACACGTGTCACATATTCCCCCGCACACCCATCAAACAACCCAAGACACACGTGTCAGATATTCCCCCGCACACCATCAAACAACCCTAGACACACGTGCCAGATCTTCCCCCGTACACCCATTAAACAACCCTAGACACACGTGTCAGATATTCCCCCGCACACCATCAAACAACCCTTGACATACGTGTCACATCTTCTCCTGCACACCCATCAAACAACCCTAGACACACGTGTCAGGTCTTCCCCCGCACACCCATAAAACAACCCTAGACACACGTGCCACATCGCCTCTCGCACACCATCAAACAACCCTTGACATACGTGTCACATCTTCTCCCGCACACCATCAAACAATCTTTGACATACATGTCACATCTCCTCCCGCACCCCATCAAACAACCCTAGACACACGTGTCAGATATTCCCCCGCACACCAATAACAACCCTAGACATACATGTCAGATATTCCCCCGCACACCAATAACAACCCTAGACACACGTGTCAGATATTCCCCCGCACACCAATAACAACCCTAGACATACATGTCAGATCTTCTCCCGCACACCCATCAAACAACCCAAGACACACGTGTCACATATTCCCCCGCACACCAATACCAACCCTAGACATACATGTCAGATATTCCCCCGCACACCAATAACAACCCTAGACATACATGTCAGATATTCCCCCGCACACCAATAACAACCCTAGACACACGTGTCAGATATTCCCCCGCACACCAATAACAACCCTAGACATACATGTCAGATCTTCTCCCGCACACCCATCAAACAACCCAAGACACACGTGTCACATATTCCCCCGCACACCCATCAAACAACCCCAGACACACGTGTCAGATATTCCCCCGCACACCATCAAACAACCCTAGACACATGTGCCAGATCTTCCCCCGTACACCCATTAAACAACCCTAGACACACGTGTCAGATATTCCCCCGCACACCATCAAACAACCCAAGACACACGTGTGACATCTTCTCCTGCACACCATCAAACAACCCTTGACATACGTGCCACATCTTCTCCCGCACACCCATCAAACAACCCAAGACACACGTGTCACATCTTCTCCTGCACACCATCAGACAACCCTAGACACGCGTGTCAGATATTCCCCCGCACACCCATCAAACAACCCAAGACACACGTGTAGGATTTTCCCCGCACACCCATCAGACAACCCTAGACACGTGTCACATCGTCTCCCGCACACCATCAAACAACCCAAGACACACGTGTCAGATCTTCTCCCGCACACCTTCAAACAACCCTAGACATACATGTCACATCTTCTCCTGCCCGCCCATCAAACAACCAAAGACATTCGTGTCACATCTTCTCCTGCGCGCCCATCAAACAACCCTAGACATACATGTCACATCTTCTCCTGCACGCCCATCAAACAACGCAAGACATACGCGTCACATCTTCTCCTGCACACCATCAAACAACCCTAGACACACGTGTCAGATATTCCCCCGCACACCCATCAAACGACCAATGACACGCGTCACATCTTCTCCTGCACACCATCAAACAACCCTAGACACACGTGTCAGATATTCCCCCGCAC